CCTGGGTCTGGGGTGGAACCCAGGTAGACTTGGTAGAAAGGGGATCTGGAGGTCCCAGCTAAGCCAGGGTGGAGGAGGGGCATCGTGAACCACCCCTCTTCTCTGCGTTTTAGGGGACTGACAGTGGATGCCCCAATGGCCCAGAGCCTCTAGGCCCAAGGGAAACCAGGGTGCAGGCGGAAGAGACTCCCCATGCTGAATACTGCCACAGTTCTCTGTCCTGACCTCTGAAGGCATTCTGAAGGGTTGGGGCCCAGCCCCCTGCGCCAAACCCCAGTGCAATGCTGGATCTGGAGGCCTAACTTCAAATACGTTTTCCAACAAATTGCCCCCTCTCCTCACCTGGACTCTGACAGTGCAGCCCCAGGAGGGCCATAAGCTTGACCCACTGTGGTCCCCATAACCCCGGGGTTCTTTCTGGAGGAGAGAGGGGTGTGGTGGGGGGACATGGGCGGGGCCAGGGTTCCCAGCCTGTAGATCTCCTGACTTGCCCCTCCTATTTCCTGTCCCTCCTTCACCCAGAGGACCGCCTGCCTGCTCCCACCACCGCAGCCTCCTGGAGCGTCCTCGTGACTCCGCCAGCACCCCTGTTCTCTTCGGGGTCTTGAGGCTGGCGCCATCAAACCCAGGAGCCCCGGCTGCTCCGAGTTGCCCACCCCACACCCATCCCAAAGCCATCAGGCCCTCTGGCCTCATGCTCTCTACCCATCCACCTTCAAGCACCCCGCCCCCCAGCTCCTGCCTTCCCCACATCTTTCTCTTCCTGTTCCCATGAGCCCGACCCACCTCGCTCTTTCCAAAAGACACCCCCTCCCGCCCTCACTTCCACACACAGACACAGACAGACAAAGCCTCTCAGACCCAGAAATAGACTCACACCGAGCCGGGGACACAGCCAGGTCCCGCCACACACGCACCCGCCCCGCACGCGCCCGCGGCCCGGGGTGGAGGAGGCACACAGAGGCGTTTGTCCGAGCGCGCCCACAGACACCCACCCGCCGCCCCCACGGCGCGGGGCGGACAAGGGCGCCCACACTGCGGCCGGAGGGCGCCGCCGCTCGGCACACCCACCGCGGGAGCCAGGCCTCGGCCCGGCCCGGGCGCGGCTCCCCCCCGTCCCTCCGGCGAATGTTTCCCTACTTGGCCTGCCAGGTCTCTGGGGAAAGGGCCTCAGAAATGCAGCCGGAGCCACTTGGGGGAAAGTTGGAACTGGCTGTTCCCGGCCTGCCCGTCCGGCGCACTCCCAACCCGAGAAACTATTTGCGGCGACAGCGGCGGCGGCGAGCCCCCCGCCCCGCGCCCTCGCCCCGCACCCCCGCCGCCCCGGCGGCCGCCTGCCCCCGCGCCCCCCGCGCCCGGGCCGGGCTCGCCGGCGGCCGGCGCTTATCGCGCCGTTGGCCGGCGGGGCGGGCGGCGCCCGGCCGGAGCGCGGAGCCCCCGGCCGCGGACTATTTCGGGCTTATCGGCGCAGGAATGCGGCGGCCGCGGCGGCGGCGGCGAGGGCCGTGGGCCGTCAGGGCAGCCCTGAAGGGGCCCCCTCCCCACTCCGCTCGAGTAGAAGTGTGAGAGCGCCCAGCAGGACTCAGAGGGGAGAGTTGGAGGGAAAAAAAGGCAGAAAAGGGAAAGAAAGAGAAAGAGAGGGAGAGAGTGAGAGGAGCCGCCGAGCCCACCCCGATGGCCGCGGACGAAGTTGCCGGAGGGGCGCGCAAAGCCACGAAAAGCAAACTTTTTGAGTTTCTGGTCCATGGGGTGGTGAGTGGGGCAAAGTTGCCGGGGGAGGGCGAGCCACCTGGCTCGGGCTGAATGGAGGGCCGCCGGGAGGGGCCGGGAGGGGGCTCCTGCTCTGCCCCCGGCCCCGGCGGGCGCCCAGCCCTCGGCCGGGCCCCGGGACGGAGCCGGCGCCCGGGCACCGCACACGTCGCCGGGCGCCGCCGGGGATGGACTCCCGGGCGGCCGGGGAGGCGTTTGCCTGGGCGCTTGTCAGGGCTGGGGTTGGGACGCGGAGACTGTCCCCCCATCGCCAAGGGGGCTCCCCTCTGTACCAGACACATTTTCCTCCGTTCTTCCCCCTGCGGGCCCAGGTGCTACCCCTGCCCCGGGGGTGGGGGTGGGGGTGGGGACATGGCGTGTGCTGGACTGTGCTCATCGGTTGGGAGAGTGTCTCTGATGGTATCTCAGGAGCAGGAGCAGGTGACCCCTGGAGGCACCGGGAGCAGGAAGCTCTGGCTGAACAGCCTGTGCATCTCAGGAGGAGGACTCTGGGGCTTGGCTGGTGGCCTTTGCCATCAGGGCCGACAGAGGCCCTCTCCAGGGACAGACCCCAAGACGAAGGGGTCTGAGATGGATCCCCCTGGCAGACTCAGCCACCAAAAGCTGCTGTCCTAAATGCCTCAAAGGTGTGAAGGGAGGCTGGAGTCAGGGAGTGAGGCTGGAGGCCAAGACTCCTGACAAGAGCAGGCTTGGGAGGTGCAGGGAGCCGGAGGGCGCCCAGGGCCACCTGAGGGCAGGGGAGCATCGGGCAGAGGCATCAGAGGCCAGGCTGGGAGAGGGGTGGACGGCAGCTGGATGGGAGAGGCAGGGGCCTCAGAACTTGACATGGGCACTAGGGTTGGAGCCAAGTACAGAGGAAGCAGTCAGATTGACTGTGGCCAGATTTGGTTCTGACCCCAAGGAAGGCATGCTGTCAGTGAGGGGGGCCCCTAGAACCCCGGCCCATCATGGGGGTGGCCCTGGTGGCTGCCACAGCTCCCCGGGGCCTCTTCAGCAGATCAGTGAGTGTCACTGGCCTTGATAAATGGGAGAGCAGCTGATAAGGAAAATGGGGTTCCTTGCGGTAGCCTGTCCTTCAGCCCGAACCTCGGGTGGTAATTTCCCAGGGATGTGTGAGTTGGCCAGCTGAGTTGTCTAACCTTGTTGTTTGGGGAAGTCCCACAAAGAAAGCCCATTTAGGTGGGAGAAAAGCTAACTTGTGGGAGGTTTTTTATTTGGTCAACTTAGAGCTTCAGTTCTTGAATGGGTATGAGCCCTGCCGCCCCACTCCCAGTGCCTCATCTATGCTGGTGGGGACCGGCCGGCCTGGGCTCCATTCCGGGCCACCACCCTGGAGGTGTGAGTGACAGGATCAGGTGGGTGGGGGAGGCAGACACATGGACAGGCAGGTTCCACTGTGGGAGAGATGGACAGAGACAGCCGGTTGGCTGGGAATGAGGGTTAGACGCAATGCTAGGCAGTTAGAAGGAATTCACCCACTTTGGGGTCAGGGCTCTCCTTGTCCCTGGGGGCAGCTGCATTCCGGGGGTAAAGTGGTAGTATTTTTATTGTTAACCCTCATCGGAGGATATTTTTTCCATTGGTTTTTAGAGTGGAAGGGAGGAAAAGTGACAGAGAGAAACATTGATGTGAGAGAGACACATTGATTGGTTGCCTCCCACACATGCCCCAACCTGGGCGGGGGATTGAGTCTGCAACTGAGGTAAATGCCCTTGACAGGAGTCGAACCCGGAACTCTTCAGCCTGAGGGCTAATGCTCCAACCACTGGGCCAAACCAGCTAGGGCTAAAGTGGTAGCATTTAAATGATAACAGGGCCGCCGGGACCGGTTTGGCTCAATGGATAGAGCGTCGGCTTGGGGACTGACGGGTCCCAGGTTCGATTCCGGTCAAGGGCATGTACCTTGGTTGCGGGCATATCCCCAGTAGGGGGTGTGCAAGAGGCAGCTGATCGATGACTCTCTCTCATCGATGTTTCTAACTCTCTATCTCTCTCCCTTCCTCTCTGTATAAAATCAATAAAATATTTTAAAAAAAATAAATAAATAAATGATAACAGGGCCAAGGGGCTACATCCCCATCCCAATCCCCATCCCACCCACCCTCCACTTTCCAGCCCCTCTGGTCCTCCCCAACCTCTCATCTGGAATCCAGAGAGGTGGGGTTTAAAAAGTCTGTGGAACACTTCACTTGGCGTATTTGCATCTCATTTACATACCATCTGAGCACCTGGATAGTGTCAAGGGAATACACCTGCCTCATCCGTCTCTCCATAGCCCCCTTTGAGCCTGACTTGTACCTCACTGGGGGGTGGGAAGTAGAGGTCTGTATGATGAGAGCATCTCTGGAGATTCAGCCTACAGGAAGGAAAGATGATTATAAGAGGAAATATGCTGCTTTTGACCTACCCAAGCCCTCTGGCAGCCACTCTGGCTCCTCGCTGCCTTCCCCCGCCCCCACCTCCATCAGAGAATCATGGTGGGGTTTGACCTCAGCCTCTCAGGTTGCCTCCAGACCCGCCTCCAGCCTTCACCTTGGGAGCAAATTATGGGGTGATCCGAGTCAGTGAAGCCCCTAGGTGTGGAAGCGTAGAGTCAGCTGAAGGGGGTAGAGGTTGGGGCTGAGGGGTCAAAAGCTGGGCCCAGAGAGAGGGATGGGTGGGGTTGGGGGAGGGACGGTGCAAGGCAGGACAACCCGGGAAGCAGGGAGGGAAAGGGAAGCTGGCTTGCTGGGGTCCCAGCAGGGAGCTCAGGCCCTAACCTAGGTGGAGGGGGACCTGGCCCCTCCTGCTGCCTTGGCCAGGAGGAGCTGTGTGACCTTGGCGAGGTCACTCCTCTCCCGGAGCCACGGAGGCCTCATCTGCCAAGTGGGGATGGAAGGACCCTCTGAGTCTGTTTTCCAGGGGAGCATGTGGATGTGCACATCCTTTGAAAAGGTTCAAAGGCGCCATTAATATTCATTGTCGCGGTACCTTCCGCAAATCCGAGGCTGGCAGTGCCCCGTGCAGTTGCCTGGCTTCAGTTAGCTTCCTGCAGCGAGAGCGAAGCCCCCTCCGCCGAACCGCGCGGTGCCGGCGCCCTGCCCCTCCCACCCCGTGAACGCGGCGGCATCAGGGTCACCAGCCGGGTTTGGGGTGGGGGAGCCGTGGCTCCGCACGCCTGCAGCCGGGCCCTGCTCTGACCGGCGGGCGCCTGTTTCTGCTTCACCCCGCCACCCCCCTCCCCAACCCAGCGCCCCGGGATGCCGTCTGGAGCCCGGATGCCCCACCAGGGGGCGCCCATGGGCCCCCCGGGCTCCCCATACATGGGCAGCCCCGCCGTGCGACCCGGCCTGGCCCCCGCGGGCATGGAGCCCGCCCGCAAGCGAGCAGCGCCTCCGCCCGGCCAGAGCCAGGCCCAGAGCCAGGGCCAGCCGGTGCCCACCGCCCCCGCGCGGAGCCGCAGGTGAGTGGGGCCCAGCGCGGAGGGGGCGGGCCGCAGGGACGGGGTGGGCGAGGAGCGGGATTGGCAGGGGCGAGGAGGAGCGATCAGCGGGGGCCGAGCCGTCCTGGGAGGGATGCCCTCTGGAGAAGTGGAGAGAGGGGCACCGCTCTGGTTCCTTTGTGTGCCCAGCGGAGTCGGGCTGCGGCCGCAGCGCCCTTTCTCCTCGTCACCTGCTCCAGCCCTCTCTCCAGCCCTGCTCCCAGGTTAAGGGTGATGCTTCAGCCTCTAGGATGGGGGGTGGGTGCTGGCAGGAGGACTGCGGGCAGAGCTTCGGGACTGTGTTTCTCAGAGTGTGGCTGTCCGGTGCACCTTCCCCAGAATTCCCTGGTTGGGCTATTTAAAGCCCCATTCCAGATCTTGGAAATCTGAATTCCTGGTTGGGGGGGGGGGGGGCTTGGGAATTTGCCCTGTTGGGGTGAGGGGGGTGTCTTCTGCCCAGTCCTGTGCTCGGGCACTCAAAGGTTGGAGAGCTGTCATCATTTGTCCTCTGGACCAGGTGTGCCCCCAAGCCACCGAGGCCAGTCCATGTCCTTGTTGGAGCCAGCTGGTGGCACCCCCCCCCAAGCCCCTCCTGGTGCGTGACAAGAGAAATGCCCCTTTGGGTTTCACATTTAGCCAAACACACATGCTTCCCACATAGAGTCCTGGAAAATGAGTAATATGGGTTATACCTCATTATAAAATATTTTTTACACATCAAGGAAAATTCCCTGTTTATGGGGATCCTACGGTGAATTCTCTTTCAAAGTGAACCACCCTGTTATACAGTTAACAAGTCCCTGATTTATTTTGTATAAATGAAGAGTCTCACACCGATACTTGGTTCAAAACAAGTCAGACCTGGCCGGTGTGGCTCAATGGCTGAGCATCTACCTGAGGTCACAGGTTCGATTCCCAGTCAGGGCACATGCCTATGTTGTTGGCTCAATCCCCAGTGTAGGGTGTGCAGGAGGTAGCTGATCAATGATTATTTCTCATCATTGATGTTTCTCTCTTCCCCTCTTCCTTCTCTGAAATCAATAAAAATGTCTTTTTATTAAAAAACACAAAAACAGCCCTAGCTGGTTTTGCTCAGTGGATAGATTATCAGCCTGCGGACCAAAGGGTCCTGTGTTCAATTCCAATCAAGGGCATGTATCTTGATTGCAGGCTCCTCCCCAGCCCAGGTCCCAGCACGAGGCAACCAATCAATGTGTTTCTTTCACATCATTGTTTCTCTCTGTCTTTCCCGCTGTCCTCCATTCTCTCTAAATTTAAGGGGAAAATATCCTCGGGTGGAGATGAACAAAAACAAACAAACACAAACACACAAACAAGTCAGACCTTTAATGAAAGCGACTTGTCTAGTCTTAGAATAGATTTTTGGACAGGGAGGGGCAGTAGTTGATAACACCACATGGGGGCAGTGTAGAGCCATCCTTTACGCTGGGCTATATACTTGCCAAGGATTCTCTGGGGTGCTTTGGGAGTCAGAAGCAGCTAGCCAGTCAGGAATAGTCCGATTCCACCCAAAGTCACGTCCCAGGGGAGAATGTCCCCACACATTCTCTCTGGGTCCCTAGGAGTGTCCCCCCTGGCCCTGTTGGCAGGTGGTCTGAGGGCACCAGCATCCCCTTTCAAGCCCAGGCGGCAGGGGTGCAGTCCTCACCAGCTTCCCGTCATCACCTCCTGCTCCAGGGCCTGGAGTCGGGGTCGGCTCCCCTCCCTTGGACAGTGACCCCAGTTTAGCCGCATCGCAAAGTCCTCAGGAGCCGCCCTCCCTCTTCTCTGCCCTGTCTCCTTCCCAGCTTTTTCCTTCGCAGCTCCCCACCTCAGCCCCCCCTGAGTCTCGGATTGTCTGGCCCTGTCAGGGCACAGGCCTGGGGCAGGAGGAGGCTCCCCGGCCAGAGAAAGGACGGGTCATCTCTGCCCCTTAGAGAGGATAGAGGCGAGGCCCACACCACTGCTGCAGCCCCCGGAGCAGGCAGAGGAGTGGGCTGTGGGAACCCCAGCCAGGCGGGTGGAGAGGGGGGATAATTTAGCAGGTGGCCTCCTTACTCCCAGATCTGTCACCATGGTAACCTGGTTTTTTCTTTAAAAAATGTACAGTGCCAAGAGGAGGAAGATGGCTGACAAAATCCTCCCTCAAAGGGTGAGTGCCTTTCACAGAAGCCCCCAGCGGATCCCTTCCCCCACCCCCTCGCCTCCACCCCTACCCCCGCTTGCTGCCCCACCTAGTTTGCCTCCCCTCCCGCTAAGGAGCAGAGCTTCAGCGGTCACAGTCAGTTTTATTTTTTGTTTTAAAGGTAATTAAGAAGTGAGGCTCCCCAGGCCAGAGGGAGGGTGTGGGACAGAGGGAAGGATCAGAACCAAAAGGGGTAACATCCTGGGCCTGGGGTGCAGTGGACTGATTGCTGCGGTCCAAGCACATGCTGAGCTGTGTGTGTTGGGGGAGGGGGGGCAGGTAGCTGGTTTAGACATCAGTTGGAGTGACTGGGTGAAATGCCATGGCAGAGGCAAGCAATCACATCCCCTAACTGTCCCAGGGACACCAAGGTCCTAGCCAGTTTGCAGACACCCAAGGAAAGCCCGGAGGCTGTGTGACAAAGGGAAGGACCAGAGGAGGTGAAGCCCCAGAGTTTACTGGGGTCCATGGTGGCTCTGGCCTCCCCTAGTCATGAAATGCATGGGGCTCCCTAGAGGGAGAAGCAACTTTTATCCCTATACATGAGGCTGCTACTGCTGGCTACGGAGTCCTGGGGCGAAGTCTCATTCTCACTCTCAAAGTTCCAGAACCAGCCAGCTCCCCTCCACCTCTGTGTACCTCGAGTCACATGATACGCACACATTCCACCTATAAGAGCGGCTGAGCCGTTCCCTGCCTTGTTCCTCCTCTTCCAGATCCGGGAGCTGGTCCCTGAATCCCAGGCTTACATGGACCTCCTGGCGTTTGAGAGGAAACTGGATCAAACCATCATGCGGAAGCGGGTGGACATCCAGGAGGCTCTGAAGAGGCCGATGAAGGTGCCTTGGTTTAGGGGTGGGAAGGCACTCTACATCCTGTTCCCAGAATGGAGACATGGGATAGCAGGGTGGGCACACGGTGCGTGCTCTGTGGGACACTCTTTATTTCTACAGCAAAAGCGGAAGCTGCGTCTTTATATCTCCAACACGTTTAACCCTGCGAAGCCGGATGCCGAGGACTCTGATGGCAGCATCGCCTCCTGGGAGCTGCGGGTGGAGGGGAAGCTCCTGGATGACGTACGTCTTGGCCCAGGTCTCTCCAGGTGTCCTGGGTGGGGCTGGGCTGGGGCTGGACGGAGGACAGAACTAGGTGTTTGCACTGAGGGTTAGGGAGTCAGTCCTGACCGGGGTGGGTGGCCTAGAGAGACATCTGTTGTGCAGAGGCCTGCTTCTAACCACACTGCCCTACCCAACCAGCCCCACCCCTCCCAGCTCGTTCTGCCCCCATGGTCCCTGTTCTGCCCCCACGGTCCCTGTTCTTCTCCCACAGCCCAGCAAGCAGAAGCGAAAGTTCTCTTCCTTCTTCAAGAGCTTGGTCATTGAGCTGGACAAAGACCTTTATGGCCCCGACAACCACCTAGTTGAGGTAAGACCCGGACCCCACATTGCCCTAGAATTGCCACCCTCCCACAGGCCCGAGTCCCGCAGTCCCTCAGCGGCACAGATGTGCCTCAGGGACCACCCTAGAGCCCCAACCTCCCCAGCCCAGATGGGCGTGATGTGACCCAGCTCTTCTCCCGTGGACAGTGGCACCGGACGCCCACCACCCAGGAGACGGACGGGTTCCAGGTGAAGAGGCCGGGGGACCTGAGTGTGCGCTGCACGCTGCTCCTCATGCTGGACTACCAGGTCCGTGCCAGTCCCCCACCCTGCGGGCACCGTGAAGCCTTTGGCCCCCACACCCTTTCTCTTAGACAGGTGGGCTAAAGCCCCCAAGGTAGGCATCCCAAGAGACCCATCCTCCTCACTACCCCCTCTCCAGAAGCACATTTTCAAGGAACCCAGTCACCATGTCGTACCTCCCCCTACCCCACCCCAACTTCTACCTCAGTCCCAAGCTGCTTGGCTTTGAGCTCTTTCCACTTCCTGATTTTATTTTTTTAAATATATTTTATTGATTTTTTTTACAGAGAGGAAGGGAGAAGGATAGAAAGTTAGAAACATCAATGAGAGAGAAACATCAGTCAGCTGCCTCCTGTACACCTCCCACTGGGGATGTGCCCGCAACCAATACATGCCCCCGACCGGAATCGAACCAGGGACCCTTGAGTCTGCAGGCTGACTCTCTAGCCACTGAGCCAAACCGGTTTCGGCTCCACTCCCTGATTTTCATGGTCACCTTTCACAGCCTCCCCAGTTCAAACTGGATCCCCGCCTGGCCCGGCTGCTGGGCTTGCACACGCAGAGTCGCTCAGCCATCGTCCAGGCCTTGTGGCAGTACGTGAAGACCAACAGGCTGCAGGACTCCCACGACAAGGAGTACATCAATGGGGACAAGTATTTCCAGCAGGTACCCTGCCCAGGGGCGGGGGAGCAGTCAGTTACCGGTAGGGGAAGTGCCTCTCTAAGGAAATACCACCCCTACCTTTAGGTTCTCAGGCACTGGAAACCGTAGGCACTCTCTCGGAGCCAGAGACCAGGGTCCTCGTCAGGCCTACCATGGTGTAGCTCTATGCTGCATTTTAGCCATCCCAGGTGAAGGAGGTCTGGAACCCCACAAAGCTCTCAGGAATGTAATATTCTTGGCACTTGGAGTTGGGTCTCCGGGTCTAGTCCTGGGTCCTGACTTTGGGTAAATTACTTGGCCATTTGAGCTTGGTTCCTTATCTCTCCCATCTAGCCCACGGGACAGTTAGGAAAATCAAATTGCTATGAAAGGGGTTTGACAAAAATTCTACCAAAGTAGAGATTTTTTTCTTAATCCTCACCCAAGAATATCTTATTTAATTTAAATATATTTTTATTGATTTCAGAGAGGAAGGGAAAGGAGAGATAGAAATATCAGTGATGAGAGAGAATTATGGATCTTCTGCCTCCTGCACAGCCCACACTGGGGATCGAGTCAGCAACCTGGGAATTGATTGTGTGGTTCATAGGACGATGCTCACTCACTCAGCCATACTGGCCAGGCTGAGGATATCTTTTAAAAATATATTTTTATTGATTTCAGAGAAGAAGGGAGGGAGAGGGAAATAGAAACATCAGTGATCATCAATCCACTGCCTCTTATACACCCCCTACTAGGGATCAAACCTGAAACCCAGGCATGTGCCCTGACCGGGAATTAAACCATGATCTCCTGGTTCTTGGGTCGACATTCAACCACTGAGCCACACTGAATGGGCCTGTGGGTATTTCCCCCCCGATTGACCATTTTAGGGTGAGTGGGAGGGAAGAGGGGAAGAGAGAAACATAAATGTGAGAGAGACATAGTGACTGGTTGCCTCCTGCATGTGCTGTTATGGGGCTGGGAACAGAACCCGAAACTGAGTTATATGCTCTTGACCCAAAATTGAACCAGTGACCCTTCAGTCCACAGGTTGATGCTCTAACCATTGAGCGACCAGCCGGGGCAGTAGAGATTATTCTTAACACATTTTAAATAAACACAGTAGATAAACCTGAGGAGTAAAAAGAATAGTTGATGTTTATTGAGCACGTGCCACGTGTCAGGCAGGTATGTTCCAAGCACTTTGAGTGTACTGATGCATTGAATTCTAACCACAACCCTGAGAGAGGGATCAGATTATCCTCATTCTAGAGATGAAGAAACTGAGGTCTGAGTCGTTAAGCAACTTACTCAGGCTGCATAATAAGTGGTGGGAGCAGAATTTGTACCTAGGCAGGCTGACCCAGGGTCCATCCTTAACCATTGCACCGCACCAACCCACTGGCCCCGTAGTTTCAGACCTGTGAATCAGATGTGCCTAGCTTCTTGTGGCCTTTCCAGAATGGAAGGGTCTAGAACTGTAGCTACGCTCTTTCCAAGCACAAAAGTGACCTCTTCCTCCTGCCTCAGATCTTTGATTGTCCCCGGCTGAAGTTTTCTGAGATTCCCCAACGCCTCACAGCTCTGCTGTTGCCCCCTGACCCAATTGTCATCAATCACGTCATCAGGTGAGGCCCGGCTTGCTCCTCAGACCAGGGAATCACTTCCCACTGCCCTGCCTGTCCCTCCCACTCCAATGCCCCCTCCCTCCCCACTGCACCTCCCCTGCGCCCTTGGGCTCTGTGGGGGCAGGTGAACACAGGGCTGGGCTTTCTGCAGTGTGGACCCGTCGGACCAGAAGAAGACGGCGTGCTACGACATTGATGTGGAGGTGGAGGAGCCACTGAAGGGGCAGATGAGCAGTTTCCTCCTGTCCACGGCCAACCAGCAGGAGATCAGCGCTCTGGACAGTAAGGTGGGGCCAGAGCCCAGAGCTGCAGTGGGATGTTAACCCAGAAATGACAGAGCACAGACAGGACAGACATGAGCATGGGCCTATGGAGAGATGAAGGACTTAACAACCCCTCCTCTGGGACTGCAGCAGCCTGGGGCCCGAGGGACTGTTTGTTAGAGGAACAGCAGCAGTCCTTCCCCCACATGCCTCCCTCCTCCTCCCCCCTTTTTCCACATCACCATAGCCAGGTGAAAGCTGCTGTCTTTCTACCTGTAGATCCACGAGACGATTGAGTCCATAAACCAGCTCAAGATCCAGAGGGACTTCATGCTAAGCTTCTCCAGAGACCCCAAAGGCTACATCCAAGACCTGCTCTGCTCCCAGAGCCGGGACCTCAAGGTGAAGGGGACTTGGGGAGCACTGGATGGAAGACAAGCATATCAGGAAGACAGTCAAGGTTGTACACAGGGACGGGAGGGGTCCGGGCTCAAGGCTCACTCCGCTTTCCCTCCCAGGTGATGACAGATGTGGCAGGCAACCCTGAGGAGGAGCGCCGGGCGGAATTCTACCACCAGCCCTGGTCTCAGGAGGCTGTCAGCCGTTACTTCTACTGCAAGGTGTGAAGGGGCCTGGGTACCTCAGGCCCCTCCTCACTGAGAAACATCCCTCCTCAGCCTCCAGTGCCCCTGCCACTCCACCACGTCCCTCACCTCCTGGGAGCCCTCCCTGCTCCCAGATGCTCTTCCGGGGTGGGCAGCGGGTGGGCGAGGTTATCCTGTCACTCACCAGCAACACCGTAACCCTGCTCCTGCTCTGATTTCTCTAAAGATCCAGCAGCGCAGGCAGGAGCTGGAGCAGTCGCTGGTGGTGCGCAACACCTAGGAGCCCTGCGAGTGAGCACCGCGGGCCAGGGCCGCCGGACCCGGGCTCTGCCAGCACCCCTCTGCCCGCCTGTGGGTGAGGCGGGGAACTGGATTAAAGGTCATTCATCTGCTAGCAGCTGTGTGGTCATTGGCAACGGGGAGAGAGGAGGAAGGGGAGGCAGTAGGTCCCTCTGGGAAAATCCCCCAGCCCCTCCCTCATTCTTCTCCTGACCGTTTCCCTAGACCTAAAATCACTTTGGCAGAAGACACTTTTAATCATATTTTCTTATTTAAAAAAAATACAGCCACAAGCTCTCCATCCATCTCGCCTTGCCCTCCTGGGGCTGAGGCAGAAAGGGGAACACGTGGCAGCCCGAGGCTAGGTGCTGTTGCCCTGCTCTTGCTCGAACAGGGCCATGGCGAGCTGGGCCCGGCCGGCCAGCCCCTCCAGGTTGCTCAGGCGGCAGCGGTGATAGAGTTCCTCGCTGAGCCGAGGGCTGCAGTCCCGCAGGGAGTACTTCTGCACCAGCCCTGGCTCCACGGCTCGGAAGAGGTGGAGCCCTGAGAACCGGAGGAACACATCCATCACCTCCAGCCCCTCCAGGGCTTCCTCCTCTTCCTGGCCTGCCAGTTCAGCGGCCAGCCGGGCGCGGGCAGCCAGGTAGTCGACGTTGTAGAAGCAGCCCTCCGCGGAAGCGTGGCGGTCAAACCGGCCTCCTCCAGGAGCCCCCCGGGCAGGGTCAGCACCTGGAGGGGACGGCGGGTCGGGGCCAGCCCCCGGGGGAGACCTCTGTGGTGCCAGGGCAGGATGGAACTCCTGGAAATGGATGGGGAAGAAGGCCTGCCAGCCAGAGATGGCGTTCATGCGGCAGCGGTTGAGCACTTCGGGTCCGGGCCGGGTCCACACGGTGGTGAGGAAGAACAGCGTGTCCACCGGGTGCTTCTTAGACACCACGTCCATGAGCCGTACCTGGGATGGGGCCTCCGCCCGCACGGCGAGCCAGGCCAGCCTCGTCCCAGGGTACCGTCGCTCCAACTCGGCCACGGCAGCCTTCACCCCGAGAAACGGGTCCGGGGCCCCCCGGCCACCTTCCTGTGGCCCGTAGACCAGCAGGAGGGTGAGCAACACATGCTCCCGTGGCTCCAGAACGCTGGCCGCGAAGGCCTCGAGGAAAGCAGGGGCCAAAGCAGCCTCCGCCACCAGGAGTGGCAGCACCAGCTGCACACGGGTGGCCTCCGTGACGTAGGGCATGGGCAGGATTTCCACTCGACTCAGCGGCCGCAGCAGGCTGACCCTGCGGGCCAGAGCCCGCCGGTGCCCACGCTGCGTCACGGCCTCCAGCAGCAGGTCCAGGGTGTACTCCATGCCCCGCGCCGGATCGAAGCGCCGGTAGCCATTGAGCAGCCGCTGCTTCTGGAATCGCAGCAGGGGCTGATAGCGCCGATTCAGCTGCTCCAGAGCCGTCTCCACAGCGTCGCCCACGTCCGCCCGGCTAGCCCCTTGCAGGGGGCACTTGGGCGCCCCATCCGCACAGGAGAAGATGTGCTGCTCTGTGAAGTAGTCCCAGCCCAGTACCTCAAATCGAGAGCGCGGAGTGAACGGGGCCGGGAGCCCCACAGGCCAGCTCAGCCCCGCCTCCCCCTCGGGGGTCAGTGCGGTCAGGTTCCGGATCTGAGCCTAGGGCAGGAGGGACACACAGTCAAGCAGGGAGCTAGGTAGTCCTCAGGCCCCGACCCGTCCTGGGCTCTGAACTCTGTCCTGACACTTAGTGGGGTGCCCCCTGGCTAATCACTCAATTCCCTGTACCGTACGTTCTCCCTCTATAAACGCAGTAGGCATATGAATTACACCCCCGTACACAAATGCAGGGAGGAGGTGGTGGTGGGGTGTGCTTTGGCAGACAGACTTTAAAGCATCATGACATACAAAGCTCAACTGCTCCCTCTCCAAAACCCCATGAACTCCCATCCTCCTGAGAACACACCTCCTGGCAACCCCACAGTAAACTAGAATATTCTTCAAACCCCTGGTTTTTAAGGACAAGGACAGAAGTCAGGGGGCTTAGGGGTGGTGGCCTCCTTGGTAGAGAAGCGCTATTGGAGTGGCACACTGTTCCGAGCCCTGATCCTCACAGTTCACCATCAAACCCTTCTAATCCGGGCTGTTCCAGGAGCTCATCTGATGACTGGCCTGGACCCAAGGGCCCCTTCTCTCTGGAGCTGATTTAAACTTAGGTACGGTTAGCCCTACCTGGTTTGGCTCCATGAATAGAGCATCCGCCTGCAGACTAAAGGATCCTGGGTTTAATTTCAGTCAGGGGCATGTACCTTGTTTGCAGGCTGATTCGTGGCCCTGGTAGGGGCATATGTGGGAGGCAGCCAATGGATGTGTCTTGTCTCTCTCACATCCATGTTTTTCTCTCTGTCTCTCCCCCTCCCTTCCACTTTCTCAAAAATCAATGGGAAAATATCCTTGGGTAAGGATAAAAATAAAATGTAGGTATGATCAGCTTCTTCCTATCCCACCAGCCTCCCCCTCAGCTGCCACTCACTCCAACCGGCCCGGCTCACCTGCAGTTGCTCTATTTCGCTGTACGTCTGCTCCAGCTCCAGGGTGCTGAAGCGCTTGTGGAGCCGGTACATGAGGGTCCCTTCCGACACAGGGTGCACTGCAAAGGCACTCAGGAAAGCCGAGCTTCCCTCCTTCTCGGGGTCTCTGTTTTTGGCCAGTTCAAATGAGCGATACTGCTGCCCCTAGACAGACCAATCAGACCAATCAATGCCACACTCGGAGGGCTGCCCGTCTCAACCCGCCCTGACCAAACCCGGCGTTCACCCCATGACTGCAAGGACCAAGTGGGGGCCTTACTCTCACTGCTAAATTTTGGAGAAAAGCATGTTCAGTAGGCAACTAAGGTACTCTCTTCCCCAGAGAGCCCCCGTTTCTCCAGGGAATGACCACCACGAGCTAGCGAGTGCTCCTAAGATGCCGGTCCCAGAGACAGGGCAGCTCCCAGGGCTAGAACAGGGATTACCTCGCTTCTCCGAAACAGTAGCCATCTCTAGAACAATCCCAGATTGTTCACGACTGTGCATGTGTCAGGGAAGGGGATGGAGGGAGGGGCAGATGGAGAACTGATGAGGAGGGGGCAGATGGATGGAGGAATGATAGGAGGGGGCAGATGGATGGAGGACTGATGAGGAGGGGGCACCTTTCTATCTTCTCACAGGGTCCCTGAGAAGATGCCACTTTGGACAGCCCCCAGGCCTGAGACCGCCTGAGGTCAGCAGGCAGCCAGAGGCACACTCCGCATCTGTGAAGGGCAAACCAGAGGCTGCCGTGTGCTGCTGGGAAGGAGCAGCATCACCAGCCCGGAGACCAGTCCCTGTCACCGCTAAGCTGTCAGGGACCCGAGCTGACTGGAAAGGGCTGTCACCTGGTGCTGCGAGACACAGCCGATACCCAGAGAGTCGATGAGGCAGCGGCCAAGCCACTCATCAGGACGGGCACTGAGAATGTCCCCTCGGCAGCCGTCCAGATGTGGCCGCAATCGAAGTAGGAGACTCCGAGACAACAGGTAGCCAAAGCCCCCGTGGCAGTACCGGGCCTGCTCGCCAGCGCCGATGAACTCCTCCGCCCGGCCCAGGTACAGGTCTTGGTTGATGCTGAGGTGGCCAGTGAGGGCTGCCAGGCGGGGGGCCTGCACGTACGTGTCATCCTGCATGATGAAGAACCAGTCGTAGTCGGCCCCAAAGTGTGTGTGCAGATGGCGCAGGGTCTCTGACATGAGCCAGGCCGGCCGCTCGTCCCCATGAGATACCACCTGCATCCCTGCTGGAACCCGGGCCCCCCGCTGTCCAGTGTAGTACAGTAACCGAGGGAAGTGGTGGGCCACTGTGCGGTTCACAGCCACAGCCAAAGTGGATAGTGTGGCCCGAGAAGTCAGAACAGCCACCAGCAACCGCTCCCGAGAGCCCAGCTCTGTCTGGATGTACCGAGTCCTGTGGAGAGACCAGTGTGTCAAGGGTCAACTCCCTCATCTCAGGAACCCAGCCTGTAGAGCACACACATCCCTCTAGAAATGAGATAGTTAGAGGTGAGAAAAGAGAAGCATCAGACCTCCTCACCAGTATTAATTAGCTCCAGGAGTAATCACCCCCTGAATAGCTGACATTGGGGAGGGGAGATACTAATGATGGGTTAGATGAAGTAGATGCAATTCCTACCCTATTTAAGAATATCTAGCACTAATGCAACACCAATGGGTGAGAATTTCTTAGACTGAGGAAGAGGGGGAAAAAATAGAACAAACCACAATGGTAAGAATTGCTCCACAGAGCCGAACACAGATCACCACCGAAGGCAGAGACAAAGCCTTGGACAGCCCTAAAGTGGGGTCAGGGGACTATGCACTATCAGCACTCACCTCAGCACCTTCTTGTAAGGCTTGTTGGGATCCCTATAGTAGGGGACAATCCGCGGTTTGAACTCTTCATCACTTTGGTCAAGCCCAATTCTTGAGTCGGGATTCTGCAGGCCTCCTGGTTCCCCCACAGCCTCTACACAGGGATCTTCTCCCTCACCCTGGATCCAGGAAACCCGCAAGAGGCTCAGGCTGCATCCCAGAGACAGCCCCAGGATGAGGGGCAGTGCTGGTCGCAGAAGAGCCAACAGGGAGCTCAGTCGCATGGTGGTAGGCCCTGCTGTGCGCATGCTCCAGAGGGTACAGCCTCAAGGAGCACTCGGTGGATGATGGGTGCCAGGCCACTGGCAGGCATGCAGTTTAACCAGAAAACCTGGGGTCCGTGTGGTCAGCAGCAGAACAAGGTATGTTTGCATCAAGGCCCAGCATCCCCAGTAAGCAGGACTGTCCCGTCTTCACAATCCTACAATTCTGTCTGGCTGGTCTCTGTTATCAAAGTGCCAGATCTAACCCTCAGTCCAAACGGTAATAAATATTAGAATCAAGTTCACCTGCTAATGGCTTATGGTCTGTCTGCCAGTAGAAAAGGGAGGCAACAAACTCCCTCCTGCCAAACTTAACCCAAAAAGGACCACACACATCTGCAGACTAAGTCAAGAGCCAGCAGCAACTGATAAAGACGGGGTCAGGGGAAAGCTCATGCTTCATCAGGACAGGGCCCACCCTGAAGAGCTGCCTCCCTACCCTTCCCCAGGGTGCCTGGCCCGTTCTTCACTTTAGGAAAGGGATCAGGGCCTCTTTCTACTCCACTCCTGAGAGCCAAGGAAACACAGGGCTGGAGTGAACTCCTCCCAGTCAGGAGCGGTCAAGAGCCACTGGCATGGCACAGGAAGCTCTGCCCACCCAAATGAGGGGCAGACAGCGAGAGCCAGCCCCCAGCTCTCAGAGAAGCACAGTGGCTGACGGAGCCATTTTGTAGCACCTCCTTCCCCAACCCCGATGCTCAGAGGCTGGTGCTGCCCACCTCCCTCTTCAGGAGGACAGGAGGCAAGTGACAGTAACTGAGGCGGTGTTAGAGCTCCTTGCTGTCCGGTTTTACCAAGGCCCCAGGTACCCAAACCAAACCGAGGCCGAGGAGAAGCGGCTGGAAGCCACGCAGGGGGTCTGGAAGGCAGGCTGAGGCTCGCTGGCCGCGGATGCTCCCTCTGCGATCACGAACCCATTCTAGTCCTGGAAAGAAGGCTCAAAGCGACTTTTAGCTGTTAAGGCTCCAAACAGAAATAAAACCGGCTGCGCCACGGAGTTGTCGAGGGGCGGAAGACTGAGAGGAGGGCACAGCCCCCGTGCTCGGGGCTTCCGCGGGGCCACAGGCCCGCCTGCGGCTGCGGGCGGAGGAACAGGGCACCCGGAGGCCGAAGCCGGAGGCCCGGCAGCAGGGCCCGGGGCGGAGGGAAAGGATGTGACCGCCGGAGCGGCGCCGTGGGCGGTGGGGGAAGGGCGGGAAGGAGGAACAGACCCCAGGTCCCGCCGAGGCGCCGGCTCCGCCGCTGCAGCTGCCACCTCACAGCCCGGCCCCTCCTTCCTCTTCCGCTCGCTGTCAGTCCCGTCTCTATGGTGACCGCATCCGGCCGCTCGCTCCGCCCTGCCCTCTCTATGGTCGCCCGGCCTCCCCGGGACCGCGGGCCGCGGCTCCGGGACTGTGTCCGCGCGGCCAGCCGCCGCCCCTCACGGACCAGCGTGCGTCCGGGGCTGCTCCTCCGAGTGGCCCTCAGCGCCCCAAACTTTCAACCTCCCTCCCATCTGCCCTGGAAAATAGAACCCCCCGTCCCTCCCCCCCAACCCCCCGCGATCAGTTTCCGCCCCCAGCACTCCCCGCGGGCTGCGGAGCTACGCGCTCGGCCGGGCCGACCTGTCAGGGTTCGCCCACGAGGGCGCAGGCCGCGGTCTGGGCACTGAGTCACCGGCGCCGGACGGGGTGGGCGCGGTGCCCTCCCTCGGGAAGCTGAGCGCTGCCACTGAACGCACACCCACTGGCAAATATAAACTTAGGCAGAAATCCGAACTGTCACATTCCCATGGGAAAACATGACAGGAAGAATTAGACTGGGAATTTGGTAATGCTGAGAATTCCAACGTTTCAGTAAGTTACCCAAACAAAATGTGAGTTTCCAGGTAAAAGGCAGAGCCCAGGAAGAGGGAAGAGGTTGGCCGAGAAGGACTGGGGAGGCCAGGGCAGCTAGGGCCTGGAGAGAGGGGAAAGCAGCCAGGCGGGCAGGCCTCTGATCGCCACGGAGGGCTCCCAACCCGGTGGCACAACCCGGGGGTAACCTGGAAGTGATCAGGAGCAACTTTGTTGCCAGATGTTTGAGGAGAAGAGCCAAGAATGTTAGCTGTCTTGCACGTGGTAAGATAGTATCACACAAGTAACAATTGTCTGTCCCGGAGCTTTCCAATGTCCTACTGGCCCAGCCGGTGTGGCTCCGTGTGGCTCGGTGGCTGAGCGTTGACCAGGAAGTCACTGTTCCAACCCGGTCAGGGCAGGTGCTGGGGTTTTAGACTCCATCCCCAGTTGAGGGCGGGCAGGAGGTAGCCAATCAATGATTCTCTCAGCATTGATGTTTGTATCTGTTTCTTTCTTTCTTCCTCTCTCTGGAATCAAAAACTTACTAAGAAAAATACGTTTCTTTTGAAAATTTGTTTCTATTAAACATTCGTGTAAGTGAAAACACTGGTCATAATAATTAATCCTTGAACCTGTATTTTACATATGGAGATGAAGTAAATTTTCAGGTTTGTGATAGTGCTGAGTTTGCAAGGAATTTAATTATCATGTAAATGGAAGGAAGATTGTACTTTGTTTTGTTCAGGAATTTATTGAGTTACCATAACGGGTAGCAGTGTCACTTATGGTCTTCTGTCTGCATTTGTACTGTCATATTCAAGATAATCCTAAGAATAGATAGAAGCATCATGAAATAACATCGTTTATTAGAGAAGATTTTTTCTTCTGTTAGGGTTAAGACACCATCTATTTTTTTAATTTTTTTTAAATCAATCTTTATTGTTCATATTATTACAAAGGTTCCTCATTTCTTCCCCCCTCCACCAGGTTCCCACCCTACCCTCCACCCCCTCCCCATCCCCCATTGTCCTCATCCATAGGTGCACAGTTTATGTTCAGTCTCTTCTTCCCTCCCTTTCCCCAATAGTAAATCCCTTTTCAGATAGTAAATCAGTTACTTAGCATTTTCTCATATCAATAATACCTCCACATGCCCAATGATATACTTCACACAAAAGACATTTCCTAATAGGTCCACCAGCCTCATCCAGGCCCCACTCAAGGCACTCACAGATCAACACCCCAGCCCTATACTAACTCAACACATCCAGATCTAAGCCTTCATCACTTGATTCAGCACTCCCTCAAGTTCCCACGAAAGTTTCCAGCCATGTCTGAGAGGCAGCCGTGGGGCAGGGGCAGGCGAGGAGCGAGCTGTTCCGGGCCTGGCTGCTCAGGGCCTGGCCTCTGTTGCTCTGGTTCGTTCCACAACCAGCTGCTCCGGGTTTGGTCACTGCCGCTCCCAACCTAGTTGCTCAGGACTTGGCTGCTGCTGCTCCGGGCCTGGCCGCTCTCAGCCTGGCAACCACTGCTCCGGGCCTGGCCGCTCCCAGCCTGGCAGCCGCTGTTCCGGGCCTGGCCATACCCGACACCATCTATTTTTTTAATTTTTTTTTTTGTTTAAATGTATTTTATTGACTTTTTACAGAGAGGAAGGGAGAGAGAGAGAGAGAGAGAGAAACATCAACCAGCTGCCTCTTGCACACCCCCTTCCGGGGATGTGCCCGCAATCGATGTACATGCCCTTAACCGGAATCAAACCTGGGACCTTTCAGTCCGCAGACCGACGCTCTACCATTGAACAAAACTGGTCTCGGCTATTTTTTTAAATTTATGTGTGTAGTTAGGTTATATCATCTACAAACTTTATCTCAAAACAGTCAAGGGAGTGTAATTAAAAAAAATATTTGCTATTAAAAGGAACACCAGAGCTGATAGAGTTAAGAGCCATCATTCTAGGAAGCATATAAGCTAGAACCCACCATGACTGTTATCCTTTGCTGCATTTTGATCTTATCCTCAGACCACAACTTGATCGCCACTCAGCAACTTGCTCATAAAAGGTGGTAAATGACTTGTTAGGAGAGACTCTAGAAAGCAGACACTTTCCTGGACATGGGAAGATAATATGTTCCAGATAAGCATTGTCCAATGGAAATATAATCTGAGCCACAAATGTAAGCCATATATGTAATTAAAAATTTTTAATATATTTTATTATAGTATTAAATATATCCGAAATATTATTTCATATATATATATATATATATATATATATATATATATATATATATATGAGATAGAAACCTCAATGATAGGAGAGAATCATTGATCAGCTGCCTCCTGTACAATCCCCTACTGGGATGGAGCCTGAAACCCAGGCATGTGCCCTGACTGGGAATCGAACTGTGACCTCCTGGTTCATAGAGTGAGATGATGCTCAACCACTGAGTATCACCTCATGCTGACTTCATGGACAACGCAGGCTGGGCTCCAAAATATTATTTTAACATATAACCAATATAAAAATTGACGTATTTTACACTACCCCCCATGTGCAAACTTTGAAATTGAATGCATATTTGATACAGCTTATCTAAATTCAGACTAGTCACATTTCAAGTTCAAATTCAAGTGCTCCGTAGCCACATGTGGCTAGAAGCTACCACATTGAAAGCACAGTTCCAGACCCTTCTCACTAAGTTCAAGGTAATTCTGGATAAGACGTTTCCTTCCTTGGGCCTTGTTTCTTCATATTTAAATATATTTTATTGATTTTATACAGAGAGGAATGGAGAGAGATAGAGAGTTAGAAACATCGATGAGAGAGAGTCATCGATCAGCTGCCTCTTGCACACCCCCCACTGGGGATATGCCCGCAACCAAAGTACATGCCCTTGACCGGAATCGAACCCGGGACCTTTCAGTCCCCAAGCCAATGCTCTATCCTTTGAGCCAAACCAGTCCCGGCTTGTTTCTTCATATTTAAATGACGAGTCCAGACTAAATGTCCTTGCTTCCAGCACTGACCTTCTCTCTCTCCATTTCCCCATTTCCTCTCCCCTCTTTGCCAGATCTGTTCCCTGAAAGATATGTAAACCCCAGGTGAGAATGGCAGAATTTCTAAGTGGCCAACAAGTTTTCTAAGCCACTCATGCTGTGCTGAAGGAAAACTGCGAAGCAACTGTTGATTCATGGGAAATCCTGGAGATGATTAGTTGCTGTATGTAGGTGGCTTCTTGAAGTAACTGGTTATAGCCTTTCTCTTGCTATCCTGAGCCATTTTACAGAGCTGGAATTCTGGAAGCAGAAAATTCCAGACTTAAGTCCTGCTACTGTCTCCTACCAGCAGTGATATTTTATTAACTTTGTTTCCAATACGTAAAATGACAACAATACCCACCTCAGGGTTGTTGGGGGAGATTAAGTGGAATTGCATAGATGAAAGGGCATAATAGATGTTAGTTCTCTGTAACCTGTAGCCTGCCTGCAAACCACACATTTTAATGAGGCTGGGAAAAGAAGGCATATTTTAGGTGTTCGGAAGAGCTGTTTTCTCTTATCCATAACATATATAACTTCTTTGATTCACAAAGAAAGGCTTTGCACTCAGCTATTGTCTAAATTCTTTACCTAAAACAATGTTTCTGTCCAGAGTAGATGCTTACTATTTGTCAAATGTATTAAATAAAATAAATATTCAGCCAAAACCAGTTTGGCTCAGAGGATAGAGTGTCGGTCTGTGGACTGAAAGGTCCCAGGTTCGATTCCTGTCAAGGGCATGTATATTGGTTGCAGGCACATCCCTGGTAAAGGGTGTGCAGGAGGCAGCTGGTCGATGATTCTCTTTCATTGATGTTTCTAGCTATCTATCCCTCTCCTTTCCTCTCTGTGAAAAATCAATAAAAAATATATTTTTTAAAAATTAAAAAAAAATTCAGTGTATACTTAGGCAAGGATTCTATTAGTAGCAGAAAAGGCAAAAGGAAGCCTTTTAATTAAATTCTAATGCTGCCCTAGCCAGTAATTAGAGCCTTGGCTCTTGACTGAAGAGCCTCAGGTTCAATTCCAGTCAAGGGCATGCCTATACCTCCTGAGTTGCAGGCTCGATTCCCCCAACCCAGTCTGGGCATGTGTGGGAGGCAACCAATCGATATGTCTTTCTCACCTCAATGTTTCTCTTTCTCTGCCTCACTCTCTCTAAAAATATCAATAGTGTTCATATTTTTTGTCTATGTTTTGTTTTTTTATTGATATGTAAGAGGTCTTTATATAGTATTGACACAAGTCCTCTTTCATAGATGTGATTTCCAAATATTTTCTCCCACCTTGTCGTTTGTCTTTTCATTCTGGTAACAGTAGCTTTTGAATTGCATAACATTTCAATATTGATGAGATCCAATTTTTCAGTTTGTTCTTTTATGGATTGTGGTTTTAGTATAATATTTAAGAAATATTTACTTTACCCAAGTTTATAAAGGCTTTTTCCTATATTTCCTTCATGTTTTTATAATTTAAAATGTTATATTTAGAAGTATCCTCTGTTTTGAATTAGATTTTGTATAGGGTGTGAGGTATGAACCTACGTTCCTCCCTCCTTCCCTTTTTAAATGGGTCGCCTATTTTTTGAAAATTGCCTTTGCCCCATTGCCTCAAATCAGTTGTCCATGTCTGTGTGGGCCCAGCACTAGATTCTGTTTTGTTGCATTGATCTACTTGTCTATTTTGATGCCATTCACACATTGCCTTAATTGAAGACATGTAGTGTCAGTCATCCTACTTTGTTTTTTGCCAAAATTGTTTAGGCCATTTTAGGTCTTTTGCATTTCCATGTGAATTTTAGAATCAATTTGTCAATTTCTACTAAACACATCCTAAGATTTTTTTTATTGAGATTGTATTGAGTCTGTAGATCAATTTTGGAATAACTGATATTGTAATTATATAGTCTTTTGACTCATGAACATTTTAAATGTATTCATTTAGGTTTTAATTTCTTTTAGCAGTTTTATAATGTTTATTGTTTAGATATTCATGTCTAAATATTTCATATTTTGGATGCTCTAATAAACAGTAAATCTTTAATTAAAAAAAAAATCAATGGGAAAAATATCCTTAGGTGAGAATTAACCAAAACACAAAACAAAAAAACACTCTAATCCAGTGGTTCTCAACCTTTCTAAATGCCGCGACCCTTTAATACAGTTCCTCATGTTGTGGTGACCCCCAACCATAAAATTGTTTCGTTGCTACTTCATAACTATAATTTTGCTACTGTTATGAATTGTAATGTAAATATCTGTGTTTTCCGATGGTCTTAGGTGACCCTGCTAGCGGTTCTCAAGCAGGGTTGAGAGCTCCCTAGAGTTAGAGATTGACTTGTCACCATTGCAACTCCAGCCTCTAGCTCTGAGCCTAACATACAGTGGGCACTTAATTGGTGGAGAGTAATCTAGAAAAAGTTACTTTCAAAGGCATCAATGTGAAATAGGTGGATTATTTGAAATACGAGCAGTCAGATTCTATTGGAGAATCAAGTTTGGGTGGCGGAGCGAGTTCATTTTTAAAATCTTCACAGGGAGTAACAACTTCCTTTGCTTCCCTCAGGCTGTGTCACCGATGGTGTGGCACTGCTGGTCAGAAGCCTGGGGATGTTAACAGGCATCACAAAACATCTGCTTTGCATTTGAAGCTACAAATTTGGGATTTACAGCGCAGGCGATGAGAAATCTGTGAGGCTCGCAGGAAAAGTAACGGACCGATGATAAAGATACACTCAGAAAGAGGGTCTTCCCACCAAACTTTGCATGGTTTCGATTGATATCCAACAATTCTGAAGTTGGTAGGCTAAGGCGGCAAGTTTTAGGAACAACGATCGGCACCTTCTACAAGTTTGGTTAACGCTGGATTTCAAATCTGGGTTTCAAGAAACGGGGACGCTTTCCTTTCATGCAGGACGGCTTTCTGTTCACGACCGCCTCTCTCTTCCTCCTTTTCCCTCCTCTGCTTAGCCCATTGTTTCGACCCCATTCCTGCCTGATGCAATCTGGGAAGTGTAGTCACTCGCCCGGCTACCTAAACCGGGAGGCCCTATATCTCCATACAACTCAACAGATTTTCGAGAGGCGGGGTAAAGCGTGGAAGATCCAACCCGCTTATCCGAAGAGCAACCTGAGATTTGCAGTTTCCAGAAGCCAAAGCGCTTCGGCGGCGAACAGAGGGGTCCAGAACTCTAATCCCACCCCCCCCCCCCCCGCCGCCCACTACCCGGGCTCGCGCATCATAATGACGTCAGAGGCCCGTGAGGCCCCTGGGATATGCGGTAGTTCTCGAGTAGCGTTCTCTGCCTCGGCAGCCGCGACTTGAGGACCACACTTCCCAGGAGTCTGAGCGTCGGCGCGCCGAGAGCCGCGCGGGCCCGTGATTGGCCGATGAGCCGGCCGCACGCGGAGGAGCCCCAGGAGCAGCTCCGTTGCGACAGAGGCCGAGCGGCAAGGCCCAGTGAGTTGGGGGGAGAGGCACTGGGGGAAGGGTGCCGGCCAGTGAAGGGGAAGAAGGATGGGAAGAGGGAGGAGGGACCGGGTCGGGATGGATGGAGGAATCTTCGAGGGAGTAGAAAAGTCAAAGGGGGAGAAGAAGCTGACGGGCGGGGGTTGGTTGGGGTCCGTTCGGGGGTTGGCGTGTGAGGGGATCCTAAGGGGACTCACCCGGGGAGCGGGCGGACTGTGCGTCCCGGGGAGAGGCTGGCTGGGTGGAGTGGAAGAGGACGGCGGAGGGGAGGCCGGAGGCGCACGGGAGGAGGCAGCCCGGCAGAGCGAGGCGGACGGCTGGAGCGCGGAACGCCAAGTTGCGGGGAAACTGGAGACGGGACCTCTGCCCTCTGCCGAGGGGCAGAACCCGGTCCCCACGGCCGCCCCGAAAAGAGGAGCGTTCCCAGAGCGAGGCAGGCCGTGGGGATTGGTGGACAAAGCCCGAGGGAAGAGATGCTGAGGTTAAAAGAGCGGCCGAGGATCCGCATTGGCTTGAGAAACTAACAAAGTTGGAACGACCGGGGCGGAGCTGGGTCCCGCGGTTTGATAGGAAAATTCCCGGGAGGGATCGAGCGGGGCCCGGGCATTCTCCCTAAGTTTAGACTTTTTGGGGTGTTTGCCTTCCTTCAGGCTCCCTGAAAGAACCGTAACCTACCCCTGTGGTTCATCACCATGCCCTCCGACCTGGCCAAAAAGAAGGCAGCGAAAAAGAAGGAAGCTGCCAAAGCTCGACAGCGGCCCAGAAAGGGACATGAAGAAAACGGAGATGCTGTCACAGAACCACAGGTGGCAGAAGACAAAAACGAGGGGCTCAATGGCCAAGAGACCACAGGTGAATTGAGGGCGAGGTGGGGTCCAGGGATGGTTGCTAGGGCTTAATGGATGCCCTGGTGCGCGGGGCGCTGAACATTGTATCTGGTGCGGGGAAACTTTTCATGAACCAAAACAGTAGCGTTGGAGCTTGTGGCATCTTGTTACTGTTCAGGGAAACATCACAGGCTTCTCACATACCCAGGGGCAAGCAAATAGAGAGCTGTGCTACTTTGTTGCTCTGTCTGCTAGACTGTGAGGAGGAGGTCAGCTCCCTGCCCCTTTCTCAGTTTCCATTTCTACAGTTGGTGGTCCGTGTGCTAGGCTCTTTGCCAAATTATATCCTTGTTCTCTCAGGGGTAATGACTTCTATTAATAAACTTATGAATTACTTCATGGGTTTTTCCTGGGAAAGGGATACATTTCTGTTATTTATAGTTTGGACACTGTTCTACATACTGGTTTACCATAAACACAGTCTGCCTTGGAAGAACTGACAGTCTAGGTGGGGAAGCATGGCAGTGTGCGATAAAGAATATTCCAGCCCTGGACGGTTTGGCTCAGTGGATAGAGCATCGGTCTGTGGACTGAAGGGTCCCAAGTTTAATTCCAGTCAAGGGCACATGCCTGAGTTTTAGGCTTGATCTCCAGTGGGGGGCATGCAGAAAGCAGCCAATCAATGATTCTCTCTCATCATTGATGCTTCTATCTCCCTCTCCCTTCCTCTCTGAAATCAATACAGATATAGATATAGATAGATATGAAAAAATGATATTAAAAAAGAAAAAGAATATTCTTGGTTCTTGGTAGTCTATTTCCAGCCCTCTCTCACCCCCCCCCCCAAAAAAAAACTCTCTAAACAGGCCTTCTCAATACAGACTATTATTGTTTCTTGAATAGTCACCACATTTCTGTCCTTTACACACTTTCTAATACTACAATTTTTGTGCTAGTTACATTTGATCTTTTTTCTCAAAGCCTTTCCCAATCAAACCTAACCTTAATATTTCCATTTACTACACTCCTGTGATGTCTTATACCATTATCTTTTTATGTTTTCTCTTTTATTTTTTTCACCTAAATGTTTTTTATGACCAACCTTGCATATAGAGATCTAAGTAAATGTTTGAAGGTGAGAGGAGAATTACCAAGGCCAATTATGACAGACAGATAGAAATTCAGAAAAGGGGGAGTTAAAAATAATTGAGAGGAGATAATTGAATGATAAGAATTGTCTCCAAAATAATTATAGGAAAAAAATGGTGCATTGAAGTCAGGCCATGGGGAAGTTTTGTTCTTGGCCAGAGGAGGGGAGGGATGAGAAGTTAGGAATGGTGGGAGGGAACAGGCTGAGCTGTTATCTCTATAGTATAGAGTTGGGGTCCCTCTAGATGCTCAGGAACTGTAGTAAGATGTATCATTGGCTCTGTGGGGGTTTTCTGGATGAATTGGAAAGGTAGAAAACTGAATCCCACTTTGAGACTATTGTCCACTGTTCTCAGTACAAATTTACTTACCCTTCCTCTTCTGTGAAAATAGAATTTCCCAGGGAACCCATATATAGCAACCCCCTTTCAATTATACAGGATCTTTAGATTTTATCTTGCTTCCTCAGGGAGATACTATTCTGAAATGTGACAAACCTTCTCAAAATGTTACTTATTGCCAGGAACTGTGTCATTTCTGCTTTTATAATTAATAGGTCCTCTCTTCTCTCTGGGTTTGGGATTATTTGATACTCTGGGTCACCGTTCTCCAACTTTTACCAATTGCTGTTGCCATGTGATCTTCCTTAGATAGTAAAGTATGAAAAGATCAAGATAAATAGCAAAGAAAGTGACCTCTGACCAACAGTTACACCTTCTTTACAATGTGAGACACTAAAAGACAGGCACTGAGTTCAGCTGGTCCCCTTGTTTGGGGATTGAGTAGAAGGGACAGTACTCACTCTGGTGAAGTTTGTTCCAGAATCCTTTTTTCATTTCTTCAAAGCGATTCACTTGTCTTTTGAGCCTGTTTTCTTGGATGTTGTAGGCTAGACAATGAGGTCTGTTTAAGTCTCTTTCTTTTGAAGCTCAGAAGATGACTTAGGTCATAGATGCTATAAATTGGAAGAGATCAAAAGAAAATGGCATAGCCCTAACCGGTTTGGCTCAGTGGATAGAGTGTCGGCCTGCAGACTGAAGGGTGCCAGGTTCTATTCTAGTCAACGGCATGTACCTTGGTTGCAGGCACATCCCCAGTAGGGGACATGCAGGAGGCAGCTGATCGATGTTTCTAACTCTCTATTCCTCTCCCTTTCTCTCTATAAAAAAATCAATAAAATATATTTTAAAAAGAAAAGAAAATGGCATATAGCCTTCCCTTAATTTTGATCTTCCCCTTGCCTGAGCAGATGAAGAGCTAGACTAGGAATTGTCAAACTTTTTCTATAAAGATCCTAATAGTAATGTAATACTTTTAAACAATAAAGAATTAAAGAAAAAAAAAAAAAGAGTGTTAAGATATTGATGGATTTCTCCCATTGTCCATGAACAAGGGAAAAAAAAATTCCAGATAGTAAATATTTGTAGTTTTGTGGGCTACACATATGGTCTCTTGCAGCTGTTCAATTCTGTCACTGTAGTAGAAAGCAGCCATATACAATATATAAATAATGATTGTGGCTGTGTTCCAATAAAACTTTTATTTATAAAAGTAGACAGTTGGCCAGTCTTTTTTTTTTTTTTTTTTTTTTTTTTAAGCCACCTCCCCTCCTAAGCTAAGAATGGTTTTTACCTTTTTTAAGATGGTTACATTTCAAATGGTAATGTAGATACTACACAATGATCTTGATTTTATCACTTGTCCTGTAAACTTTGATTTTACTTATTTGTTACTTTTTTTTTTTTTACAATGGTAAATAAAATAAATTTATTTTGTATTTTAATGACGACTTTCATTTACCTAGATTTGTAAAGTAGAGCTATACACATTCTATCAGAACATGATTATATATTTTAAAAATCTTTACTGTTGAAAGTATTGCATATGCTTCCTTTCCCCTTTTGTAAAATCAAAGTTTACAGGACAAGTGGTAAAATCAAAGTAAACTTTGAATATTTACCATCTGGCCCTTTAAGAAAAAGTTTATGGCCAAAACCGGTTTGGCTTAGTGGATAGAGTGTTGGTTGGCGGACTGAAAGAAAAAGTTTATCAACTACTTATGTAGACATGAACTTCTTTCTCCCTGCTTCATCATCTTCTCAGCATCTAGAACAGGGATTGGCACAAAGCAAGGCTGTGGAAAGTTTGGTAATAACAACCATCTATACTAATAAAAGGGTGGGTAATATGCTAATTAGACTGGATAATTCCAGACATCTGACTTCCTTCTGGACAGTTAGGGGGTGACCAGGCCAGCAGGGGGGTAATTGGGGGGGTGGCCAGGCCAGCAGGGGGGCAGGTAGGGAACAACCAGGTAGGCAGTTGGGGAGGCAGTTGGGAGCAACCAGGCAGGCAGGCAGGCGAGCAGTTAGGTGCCAGTGGTCCTGGATTGCGAGAGGGATGTTTGACTGCCAGTTTAGGGGGTTGTTGGACCCCTTGGGGGATGTTTGAACATCCGACTTCCTTCCGGACAGTTAGGGGGTGACCAGCAGTCAGACATTCTCCAAGGGGTCCCTGACTGGAAAGGGTACAGCCAGGCTGAGGGACCCCACCTCACCCTCCCATGCACAGATTTCATGCACTGGGCCTCTTAATATTGAAAAAAGACTTAAAATTCCTCCTTGCGATAAAAACTAAAAACTTTGTCCTCCATTCAAAAAGTATTTTATCAAGAACACACACACACACACACACACACACACATATATATATATATATATATATATATATATATATATATATATCCCAGTGTTCTGGGAGCTGAGGTAGGTACAGAATGACTGGTGTGTGTCTGTGGGGTATTCTCCGCCCTCAGTGCTGGTTCCTTCCAAATAGAGCAGGTTTAGCAGCGAGGTGAGTAATAGTGCCAGCACAGGTTATCTGACAAGATGGGGTATTTGGAGATGACTTCTAAGGCTGACCACATACTACCACACCTTCTGTCTTGGCGTAGCTCTGCCCAAGCTTACCTGTCCTAGGAGGGCACCAAGGTATCTTCCCCCTTCTACCACATCTCTACTCACCCTGAGAACAAGCACATGGCTTTCTCATTTCATGGGTTCTACTCTAAAATCACTAAGGGGCCGAAACCGGTTTAGCTCAATGGATAGAGCGTCGGCTTGGGGACTGAAGGGTCCCGGGTTCGATTCCGGTCAAGGGCATGTACCTTGGTTGCGGGCATATCCCCAGTAGGGGGTGTGCAAGAGGCAGCTGATCGATGACTCTCTCTCATCGATGTTTCTAACTCTCTTTTTCTCTCCCTTCCTCTCTGTACAAAATCAATAAAATATATTTTAAAAATAAATAAATAAAATCACTAAGGGAACACAGATAAGGGTAAGAGACTAAAAAGTCAGAAAATTTTCATACTGGAACCTTGGGTGTAGTTTCTGATTCCTACTTGAAAAGGTAACTAGATCACCTTTTCTCTTTTGGCCTAAGCTTACTAAGACTCCCTCTACTCCCATTTCTGTCCCACTTTCAACAACTCTTTGTGGGTACTTTCCTATATAGAAAGGTGGTATAGTGAAGCAGGTGAGATCATGGGCTTTGGGCCCAGGCATGCACTAGTTCAAATTCTGACTCTGTCACTTACTAGCCTTTTTGGCCTTGACTGTTATCTAACCTCCTCACTTATAAACTGATGATTATAGGTGTATATGTCATAAGGATTATTAGTATTAAATTAGATGGGAAATGCTGATATAGCACAGTCCCAGGCACAGAGTAAACTCAACTAGCCAGTTATATTAGCCATTAATACTAATAACTTTGTCATTAGGGGGAGGGTAGGTAGGTGCATGGGAAGAGATCAACCAAAGAACTTGTATCATATATGCATTACCATGGACACAGTCAATAAGGTTGTGAAGCCCCGGGGTGGGTGAGGAGGCAGATTAGAAGAAATCAATAGGTAGGAAAGGAGGCATATGTAATACTTTCAACAGTAAAGATTTTTAAAATATATAATCATGTTCTGATAGAATGTGTATAGCACTACTTTACAAATCCAGGTAAATGAAAGACATTGTCATTAAAATGCAAAATAAATTTATTTTATTTACCATTGTAAAAAAAAAAAAAAAAAAGTAATAGTTCTCAACCTAAAGATGTAATCATGCATGAAAACCCACTCGTTAGTCTCCTGTCTCAGGGTCATTTTGCCTCTGAAACCCTCCAGATTGGGAACTTCTGGCTTGCCCAGCCTTGGCCTGCCTGCAGTTTTCCTCTATAAATTTCCTCACTGGTCCCTTCTGGGCAGCAAGCTTCCTGGAAGCATCTTCCAAACAGGGGTGGGGAATGTCTGGCCCTGCAAAGGCATTAGGGGTGAGTTAGTTAAAAGTTTGACCAAATATAGTAGGTTAATTTTTTTTTGTTAATGCTCACCTGAGGACATTTTTAAATTGACTTTTAGAGAGAGTAGAAGGGAAGGAGAGAGACACAGAGAGAGAAACATCAATGTGAGTGACACATCCATTGGTTGCCTCCCACATACCCACATACCCTGCCCCCCAACCAGGCTGGGGATTGAGCCTGTAACCGAGGTACATGTCCTTGTACCTTGACTGGAATCAAGCCTGAGACCCTTCAGTCTGCAGGCTGACACTTTATCCGCAAGCTAGGGCAGCAGGCTAATTTTTAAGTTGATAATTTTGTATGGCCCGAGAATGATGTTATAAATATCCAAATGGCCCTTGTTAGAAAAAAGGCTCCCCACTCCTAATCTAGGAGCTTCTTAGCTTGTGAAATAAGAGAATTACTCCTCTGTAGTATCTGCTTTCTGGGGAGCATTAGGACCGTCATTTAATACATATAGAGGACAATTTGTAGTTACAGTCATTCCCACCAGGTATTTATATCATCTAGAAATGAGAGGTTAAAAGGATAAGTTGTAAACCCTGGCCAGGTGGCTCAGTTGGTTTAGTGCATCATTCTGAGAAACCAAAATATTCGATTCCCATTCAGGGCACGTGCCTAGGTTGCAGGTTTGATCTCTGATTGGGGAATGTACGGAAGGCAACACATTGATATTTCTTTCTCACGTGATGTTTCTCTCCCTCTCTCTAAAAACCAATAAAAATGTGCCCTTCGGTGAGGATTTTAAAAAAGGATAAGTTATTAATTAAAAAGTGTCCCAAAAAGCATGGTGTTAGGGCAGATCTATATACAATGTATACTCTTTAAAGTGTGTGAGACCTCTGAATCTGCTCAAATTGATCTGGAGTCCTTTAGAATATATATGCCTTTTTCAGCATTCAGAATTCTGTATGGTAATATTTAGTAACCTGAATAAAGGGAAAAGCCACAAATGTCCAAACAGGGACTGGAAACCTGGACCTTCAGGTTAAAAGTCTGATGTTCTCCCAACAGAGCTACCCAGGCACTCCAGGGTATGCCTTGTTGTTTGAGAGCTGAGTCTCTTCCCAACGGCTTTTCTTTTCTGTTCCCAGAAGTGGATTTGCTGTCCAAGGAACTGGAGGACTTTGAGATGAAGAAAGCTGCTGCTCGAGCTGTCACTGGTGTCCTTGCCTCTCACCCCAACAGTACTGATGTCCACATTATCAACCTCTCCCTCACTTTCCATGGCCAAGAGCTGCTCAGTGACACCAAACTGGAATTAAACTCAGGCCGTCGTTATGGCCTCATTGGCTTAAATGGAATTGGTGAGGCCCTTGGAAGGCGAGGTGGGAGGTATCTCTCCTTGGCTCATCTGTCTCACTCAGCAAGTATTTACCTAGCGCCAGCTATGTACAAAGCAAGGAGTATACAGGATGGGTGGGAGCAGAAATGCCCAGGGAAAGGAGCTAGCATACAGAGCAGTGTGTGGTAAGTACCACATGAGGAGTTACAATAGGTACTGGAAAAGTGGGCGGGGGGTGGGGGGTGGGTTGGTAGTGTGAGGCCGCTGTAGGTGAACAGACTTCACAGAGGAGGGGTGAGGCAAGAATTGGAGGGAAGGTATCCTAAGAATGGGGTTGGGGTAATAGCAGGGTTTGAATGAATGAAAGGAAGGAAGGGACCGGCCAGTGTGCCTCGGTGTTTGAGCTGGAGGTCACTGATTCTAGTCGGGGCACATGCATGGGTTGTGGACCTAAACCTAGGAGGGGATCTCAGGAGGCAGCCGATACATGTCTTTCTCTTGATGTTTCTGTCCCTCCCTCTTCCTTCTTCTCTCTAAAATCAATAAATAAATTTTATTATTATTACTTTTTTTTAAAAAAATAACCCTTTTTATTTCAGAGAGGGAGGGAGGGATAGAAACATCAATGATGTGAGAAAATCATTGATTGGCTGCCTCCTACATTCCCCACAGTGGGTATTAAGCCTGCAACCCAGGCATGTAGCCTGACATGAAATCAAGCTGCTACCTCCCAGTTCGTGAGTCAATGCTCAACCATTGAGCCCCATTGGCTGGACAATAAAAACATTTTTCTTTTTAAAGAAAGAAAAGAAGGGTGGTTCTTAAAAAAAAAATAAAAAAAATAAAAAATAAAAAAAATGGTGCCCTAGCCAGCTTGGGTCAGTGGATAGAGCGTTGGTCTGTGGACTGAAAGGTCCCGGGTTTGATTCTGGTCAAGGGCATATGCCTGGATTGCGAGCTCGATCCCCAATAGGGGGTGTGCAGGAGGCAGCTGATCAATTATTCTCATTGATGTTTCTATCTCCCTCTTCCTTCCTCTCTGAAATCAATATATATATATATATTTAAATGGTGAGGTGGGCTGGAGTGAGGAAGATGTTGGAGTAATGACATAAAACTGCTGAGTGTCCCCTTCCATTCTTTGCCTGCTTCTCAGGCAAGTCCATGCTGCTCTCTGCCATTGGGAAACGTGAAGTGCCCATCCCTGAGCACATCGACATCTACCATCTGACTCGGGAGATGCCCTCTAGTGACAAGACACCCCTGCAGTGTGTGATGGAAGTCGATACAGAGCGGGCCATGCTGGAGAAGGAGGCTGAGCGGCTGGCCCACGAGGATGGTAGGGCTCCAGACCTGGGGGCGGAGGTGCGAGGCTTCCTCCTGGGAAGGGCCCAGGAGCCTGATGGCTGTCCCCTGCCCACAGCGGAGTGTGAGAAGCTCATGGAGCTCTACGAGCGTCTGGAGGAGCTGGATGCTGACAAGGCCGAGATGAGAGCCTCACGGATCTTGCACGGACTGGGTTTCACACCTGCCATGCAGCGCAAGAAACTAAAAGACTTCAGTGGAGGCTGGAGGATGAGGGTTGCCCTCGCCAGGTGAGTCCCTCTCCCTCCACCCTCTGCAGCTCCCCTTCTTTCTCAGGGCTGAAAGCTCACTCTAGGAGAAGTGTTTTGAACAGGGGTCAGTGGTCAGTAACTGTAAACAGGACACAGACATCGACGATGCAGAGAGTTGGTATGTGTGGGTTAAGGAGTGGGCTCCTGACTGAAGTGGTCGCTGTTGGGTTTCTGGCTCCCCTCTCACCCTTTTTGTGCTTCACTCTTTCTCATTGTTTTCTCTGTAAGGAGAGAATGTTAGAATATTAGCTATTAAGATACCTGTTTTCTCATCCTGTGACTTGGACCTGGAATGAGTTTTGGTCTCTCCCCCCACCCCCCCCCCAATTTATTTATTTATTCTCCCTTTACCCTTTTCTACCTCCCCCATTTCCTTTTCCCTCTGGTAATCACCATACTTTGTGTCTGTTTTGTTTTTCTTTTCTTCATTTAATCCCTTTACCAAGTTTTGTACCATCATTTCTTTAGCAATCCCCCAGAAAGCCCCTGGTTAAATAGGTGGTGCCTTGGTGAGCCTTGACACACTGCCTCAGCACGGCTGCCTGTGTGCACCTTCAAACACCAGTGCAGGGATTCCACGTGTGAGAAGGACTAGCTGCCTCAGATTTGCCTAGAGAGCTTTAAAAAATACAGATTTCCTTGAATATAATAGAATCAGAGTTGTGGAAGGGGAGTGGACTGACCATTCTCAGGAAAGAGGAATGGGGGGTGCGGGAAGAGACTGAACATAAACTGTGCACCTATGGATGAGGACAGTGGGGGTGGGGAAAGGGCAGAGGGTGGGGTGAGAACCAGGTGGAGAGGGGGGAAAAAATGAACTTTTGTAACAATATGAACAATAAAGATTTATTTTTTAAAAATAAAAATAAAATTTAAAAAATTTTTCTAGATTTCCTAGCCTGTTCTTCAGAACACTAGAGCTTGATGTCCAGAAATATTATTTCTAAAAAGTTCCACAGGTGTGGGGACCAGAGTTACCCCTTGCTTCTCTTGTCTTGAGATTCCATCTAAGAAAACAACTTTCTCTGGACTCCTTGCTAGAGTCCAGCAACCCTGCCAGATAGCTCTAACCTGAATGCTTTTTGCTCCAATGATTTATTTCTTCTGTCCTTCCTTCTTCCTAATGGTCACCATCATCAGTGTAAAAGACTTATAGACTCAAGGACTTTAGTCTCATTTCCAAAGCATAGCATCCCTCTGCTTCTCAACCGTGTTTTTGCCCTTTAACTGCTACTCTTCAACTCTGGTTTCTCTCCTAGTTCTTCCTTTTCTCTGAGGTATCGAACCTAGAGTTGGTTTCAGGACTCAAACCAGGCCTGACCCGAATTGCAGTAACAGGCAAGACAGTCCCTTTCTGTGTCACACCCATTAGACTGAGCTGGCTCTGTCCTTTCCTGTCCTCAGAGCTCTCTTCATTCGGCCCTTCATGCTGCTTCTGGACGAGCCCACCAACCACCTGGACCTCGATGCTTGTGTGTGGTTGGAAGAAGAACTAAAGACGTAAGGGGACAGGGCTGGGGCTGGGAGTGGGCAAGTGCTGAGGAGGGAGTTGAGCAGAGTCCAGAGGAAATGGACACCCACACACTGATATTAGAGCAGTGAGCCAGTGAACTGCAGTGAGTCCATGAAGGCCACAGGGACAGTGGTAAGCACCTTTAGGGCTGGCCTTTGTGTTTGATTGTCTTTCTTTTGTCTGAAATGTGTTGATGGTTTTTTGTTTTTAGTAAAGCTGATTTTTTTTTCCCTTATTGATTTCAGAGAGGAAAAGAGAGGTAGAGAGAGGTGGAAACATCAATGGTGAGAGAGAATCATTGATTAGCTGCCTCTTGCACACCCCCTCCTGGGGATTGAACCCAGGCATGTGTCCTTGATTGGAATCGAAACTGGGAACTTTCAGTTCACAGTAAAGCTGGTTTATTTAACTGTATTTCTAGACCTCATATATAGATATCATTTTTGTATTTATTAAAGCCAATTTCTTTTTTTAAAATATTTTTATTGATTTCAGAGAGGAAGGGAGAGGGAGAGATAGAAACATCAGTGATGAAAGGGAATCACTGATGGCTGCTCCTGCACACCCTGCACTGGGGATTGAGCCCGCAACCAGGATATGTGCCCTGACCGGGAATTGAACTGTGACCTTTTGGTTCACAGGTTGATGCTCAACCACTGAGCCATACCAGCTGGGCTTAAAGTCAATTTTCTTTACTGTATTTATAGACATTATCTAAGATTATGATGTAGTGACAAAGGAAAAATAGCAGATATATGGTCTCTCTCTGATTAAAGAGCCGAATACCCTGGGTTATTGTGCCAGCTCTGGAAGAAGGCTTTCAGCAGTCTCTGCAGTGACTTAGTAACTTCTTTCAAAAAGCAGATCGTCATGGTTTTGACTGTGCCGATTCCAGTTCTTCCCACCCATAGTGTAGATACACTTATGGGTGGGTTTGTGCACATACACTTTTGTTTTTACCATCACTGAAACTGCCATCTCTGTTCCATTCTGTTGAAAATTAGAAGATGAGGGAAACTCAGACTGTCTCACCACACTTTGAAAGGCATTAAAACGTCCTTAGAGGTAAACGGGGCATAATGGTTTCAGTGCTTGCTGAGAGTGAGAATTGGCCAGTAAATCTAACAGATGCTCAAGTGTGAGGATGAGCAAGGAGATGGTTTCCTGGGCCTGACTCTCAGCTTACCTGTTGTGGACTATCTTCCAGTTGTGAGCACCTCCCTGACTGGTTCTTTGGCTTTGCAGTTTTAAGCGCATCCTGGTCCTCATCTCCCATTCCCAGGACTTTCTGAATGGCGTCTGTACCAACATCATTCACATGCACAACAAGAAACTGAAGTATTATACGGTGAGTAGCCTCCAGCTTCTCCACAGAAACCTCTGTGCTTACTAATTACCTAAAGTTCCCCTTTTAAAAAAACACAGACAGACTGAAAAAACAGACTTACCAGCCTTTTCTACCTATTGCTATAAAAAAAATATGGACAAGGAATCTTGCAGCCTGTTTTAGTCCCAAAGTAATTGCTTTCAAGCCATAAGCCTAGATTATTAGCCAGTGCACATGGTGTATGTTTGCCTCATGGCGAAGAGATCGACTTTTCATGGTACCTAGGCTGCCCTCTGTCTCCCTGAATGGCTGCTTATTGATTCTTCCTCCCATGAAGAATGGGCCTCAGGATCTTGACAGCTTACTTTTGTAACTTTTCATTTTTTATTTCAAAAAACATATCAAATGAAAAATAGAAGTTCTCTTCATTCATAATTATATTTGCCATGGGAGTACTAATAGTTTCTTAAATAGCTTTCCAGAAATTTCCTGTGTACCTGCAAGCATTTGTGGAAATTTTCCTGTATACATATCACAGTTGTAATCTTAATAATCATTCTCTTCTGTAGTTTATTATTAAAGTTTACTATATCTGGGACTGCTTTTCACATGAATATGTATATAAATCAACCTTATTCATTTTGGTGGCTGCATGATATTTCATTGTATGGCTATCCTGTATCTTATTTGTCAGACCCTTTTTAATGGGTTTTTAAGTTGAGTCCAATATTTTGCAGATAGAAACCATAGCAATCCAATTGTGCCGGGTTTGCCAGGTCCTAAATCTGATTGGCTAATGTCTTCCCTCCTGGGAACAGTTCTTGTCAACTGCAGGGGCTTCAGCCTCTAGGAGTGGGTGTATTAGGGAGAGCCTTGTGATGTCTGCACAAAGGTCGTTTTCCCAATGCTGTGGGTGTGGGTGTCTTATGGCTAAAGTGAGGCTTTGGTCTGGCGCCCTGCTCTGGCTGAGGCATACAATTTGAAAGACCCCAAATTCCAAATCAGAATATGCTTTTTTAGAGCATTTCCTCTTTCCCTACTGCACAGTCTTACAGCCAGGGCCTAGTCACATGCCATCTGCATCCCCTAAACCCGGGTGAGAACCTCCCTGACTGACGCGTTTCCCCACAGGGTAATTATGACCAGTATGTGAAGACACGGCTGGAGCTGGAGGAGAACCAGATGAAGAGGTTTCACTGGGAGCAAGATCAGATTGCTCACATGAAGGTAGGGCAGTTGGAGAGCTGAGCTCACATTCTCCAGGGAGTGGGATGAGGGTTCAGGGGAGTACTGGAGGAGGTCAGGAGGAGTACATAAGTTTTTACTCTGCTTTTAAGACGAGTTGTTTGATGCCTGCTCATTCTCCAAGCCCCCTTTCTGATCTCTTTCAGAACTACATTGCTAGGTTTGGCCATGGCAGTGCGAAACTGGCACGGCAGGCCCAGAGCAAGGAGAAGACGCTACAGAAAATGATGGCATCAGGACTGACAGAGAGGGTCGTGAGCGACAAGGTGGGATCCAGTTGCGGGGAGTGAGGTGGCCTAAAGTGAGGTGATTAAGAAAGCACCTAACCTGATAAATGCCCTGTCCTCTTCCTAGACGTTGTCATTTTATTTTCCACCATGTGGCAAGATCCCTCCACCCGTCATTATGGTGCAGAATGTGAGCTTCAAGTATACAAAAGATGGGGTAAGTCTTCTGTGTAGTTGGGAGGCTGGGGTGCATTTTACAAGGTGTCAACTGGCTGGGAGAGTCTTCTGTTCTGTGCTGAGTATACCTCCTAACCCCTGGGCTGTGGCAGATTTTCATGTGTGGCAGCTGAGGTGCCTCACCAGGGATTCAGTAGCCCCTCTTACTCAGCTGGGCCTGTGGGGGGGCAGTGGGCTGGAGTCTGTCTTCCTCCTCCACACTGCTACCTCCTCCAGGGACTCAATGGGTTGGTCTGCCAGTCAGGTTGATCGGTACTGTGGTCTGGTATCCAACTCACTTTCTCTCTCTCTCTCATTCACCTCAGCCTTGCATCTACAACAATCTAGAATTTGGTATCGACCTTGACACACGAGTGGCTCTGGTTGGGCCCAATGGAGCAGGGAAGTCAACTCTTTTGAAGCTGCTAACTGGAGAGGTATGGCGCCAGATGGGGGGACTTCGGAGAAAGTAGGAGACTGTGTAAGAGAGAGGACACATGCATGGGTCTCAGTAGTTTTTGTATTTTCAATCGGAGCATTTAGAGCAGCAGTTCTCAACCTGGGGGTCGCGACCCCTTTGGGGGTCGAGTGACCCTTTCACAGGGGTCGCCTAGGACCTCCTGCATATCAGTTATTTACATTATGATTCATAACAGTAGCAGAATTAGTTATGAAGTAGCAACAAAAAGAGTTATATGGTTGGGGGTCACCACAACATGAGGAACTGTATTAAAGGGTCATGGCATTAGGAAGGTTGAGAACCACTGATTGAGAGTATAGGAACATTGTGCATTTACAGATACGCTTTCATTTTAGAAGATATGTGTGGTGCCTATGTTCGAGTCCTTTGTTGTGCAGTAGGTTGCATGCTGCAGTAGACATTTAGTCACCGCTGAGATATGCTGAGAACATCTGCTTCAGTATATCTTCCTAAATACTTTTCAGGGGCCAGAGGAGCAGTCTGTGAGGAGGTGATGTGGGTTCAGTATAGGAAGTTGTATGAGTCTTATTCAGTGTGAACATATGTTTGTGTCCCTGTTCTGCCTGTGTCTGCTTCTGACCAGTTTCCCTTTTTGTGTGCTTGTCTTTCATCTACTACTCTTTCTAGCTTTTGCCCACAGACGGGATGATCCGGAAACACTCTCATGTCAAGATAGGGCGATACCATCAGGTATGACAGGCCTGGGGTTGAGGTCAAGGAACTTCCTGGTGTGGTAATTGGGCTGCATGTGACCCAGTCAGCCCCCACCTGCTGCTCCTTGAACAGGTGGTGCCTGGGTAGAGGGAGGAAGTTATGTGGCAAGTAACCCAGCAGGGTTTTTGGACGTCAGTCAAGCCTGGGTGGGTTCCTTTTTTCCTGTAGCATTTACAAGAGCAGCTGGACTTGGACCTCTCCCCTCTGGAGTACATGATGAAGTGCTATCCAGAGATCAAGGAGAAGGAAGAAATGAGGAAGATCATTGGACGATATGGTCTTACTGGGAAGCAGCAGGTTAGTGGAAGGGGGGTATGGAGAAGAAGCCCAGAGAACTGGGAGACTGGCGCGATGGTCAGGGGACACTGTCCTGGCCACCATTCCTTTTCCTTTGCTCCAGGCTGTTATAAAGTAGAGCAGCAGTTTTCAACCTTTTTCACCTGATGGCACACACAAACTATTAAAATTCTGTGGCATACCAAAAAACACGGGTTTCCCCCCCCAATTTGACCCCGCAAAAGGGTATAATTTTGATACATGCACACTGGGCGGCTATTGTGTTGGCTGTTGTCATTTAAAAATATTTTTTTTGTTGATTTCAGAGAGGAAGGGAGAGGGAGAGAGATAGAAACATCAATGATGAGAGAATTATTGATCAGCTGCCTCCTGCATAACCCTTACTGGGGATTGAGCTTACAACCTGGGCGTGTGCCTGACCAGAATTGAACCGTGGCCTCCTGGTTCATGGGTCAGCACTCAACTATGGAGCCACATGGCCAGTCTGTTGTCATTTTTTTATTTGACAATCTAAGGGAAAAGAGGTCTTTGACTGAATAGTCAGGTATTTCTTGTTTTAAAAATTCCTGTGGCACACGGTTGAAAATTGCTACAGTGGAGCATTTAGGTCGCTCTATGAGGGAGGGGCAAGGACAGCATGCAGTCTCCGAGCCATTGTGCTTAAGGTGAGGGAAATTAAACCTCGAAAATAAGTTCCTGGACTCAGGTCTGGACTGAGGGTCCACTGGATTGCTCTGAATCCTAAGGCTTATTTATTTATTTTTAGAGAGGAAGTAGGGGAGAGAGACAGACAGAAACATTGATTTGAGAGAGAATATCAATTGGCTGCCTCCCACATGCACCCCTACTGGGGATCAAATCTGCAACCTGGGTTTGTGCCTTGACCAGAAATCAAACCTGTTACCTTTTGGTGTATGGGATGATGCTGAATCATTAAGTGCTAAGAGTCATGGCCTTGGTAACTGCACGAGCTTCCGGTCTCCAAATGCATTCCTTAAGGCCTGAGAGACTGATGACTGTGTCACCACCTTGCTGCCTGAACTTGGCTGTTCCTGAACCAGTTGTTGTTAAGTGAGGGGAAGAGTGCTGTTTGGTGGGGGTAACACTAACTTAAATATCACGGTCCTACTCAGGTGAGCCCGATCCGGAACCTGTCTGATGGGCAGAAGTGCCGGGTGTGTCTGGCCTGGCTGGCCTGGCAGAACCCCCACATGCTCTTCTTGGACGAGCCCACCAATCACCTGGATATTGAGACCATTGATGCCCTGGCTGATGCCGTCAATGAGTTTGAGGGCGGCATGATGCTGGTCAGCCATGATTTCAGGCTTATTCAGCAGGTGAGGCTCTGGCTTGGGTCGGAGGTCTAGCAGGGGGCATACAGGAGAAGGTTGGATGGAGGACAGTTGTGACACATAGGGGGTACTTAACACATTCTTTTCTTAATCCTCACCCAAGGATATTTTTCCATTGATTTTTAGAGAGAGGGAAAGACAGGAAAATAATGATGTGAGAGAAACACATCCATTAGTTGCCTCCTGCACAAGCCCTGACTAGAGCTTGGTCTGGGGAGGAGCCTGAAACCTAGATTTTTGCCCTTGAACAAAATCAAACCCAAGACCCTTTGGTCTGAAGGTCGACACTCTATCCATTAAGCCAAACCAGCTAGGGCCGTGATCGGCAAACTGCGGCTCTTTGGCCCTTTCTGTGTGGCTCTTCCCCAAAATACCACAGCCTGAATGAGTCTATTTTGAAGAAGTGGTGTTAGAAGAAGTTTAAGTTTAAAAAATTTGGCTCTCAAAAGAAATTTCAATCGATGTACTGTTGATATTTGGCTCTGTTGACTTATGAGTTTGCCGACCACTAGGCTAGGGCAACACATTTTTATTCGATTTGAGAAAAGGGGCTCAGGGCATAAATGGATCAGATAGATCTTATCACTCTTTGGGAAACTTAGAACGCCCCAATGGAAATACTTCATTTCTTCAGTAGCTATTTGGGGATATTAGCCTATTTGATATTGTTGGCCAAAATCAGGGAGGGAGTTGGGTAAAGGATAGAATGCTTTTGCCACTGTTCCAAGATTCTTCAGCCCAGTGGTATTATACTAGGAGGATTTTGTCAGACAGAGGGCTACCACCAGTCTGGTGAAAAAGCTCCTGGTCATTTATCTGAAGCTTTGGGGAAGATGGGGTGGAGCTGACAGTGACGCCTGTGATCAGATCTGGGCTCTGCTAGTGACTGGTGATCAGGACAGCAGGTCCTGGCTGGAAGTCTCCAAACCTGCTCATTACAGTTCCTCTGGGTTAAGCCATCCCAAAGAATGGAGATAGTGAAAGCAACCCTGAGCTGGATGTGAGGTTGGTGAGGGGGCTTGGAAAGGCTGTGGAATCTTCTTCCTAGAATTCCCTAAGAACAGCCTTCTGAGAGGGAGGGAGAGACTGCCGGCCAGGATCATTAAGACTATGATTTGCTTTTTAGGTAGCACAAGAAATTTGGGTCTGTGAGAAGCAGACAATCACCAAGTGGCCTGGAGACATCCTGGCCTACAAGGAGCACCTCAAGTCCAAGCTGGTGGGCGAAGAGCCCCAGCTTAGCAGGAGGACCCACAATGTGTGAGCCCTACCCTGGCCAGATGGGCCAGGCCCCTGGGGCCGCACTCCTGCGTTGCTGCAATACCACTCCCCAGCTCTTCCCTGCCCCCACCTGCCTTAGCTACACTCTGTGATCCTATCTACAGCTGGACAGTACCTGTCCGTTTCTGTCCTTCCCATTATTTTTGTCCATGTCTGGACTCAGCCGGCTGTTCCTGCCAGCCCCTTGCTGGTTTCTGACCCTAAGTGATGCAGCCAGAGGCACATGAGGGTTAGCCCAAGGGCCCACACCCTGGTTGGCTTGTGAAAGAGCTTAGGATCCTGGTTTTCTGGGTTTTGGTGATGTTGGAGGAATACAACTCAGCCCACTGTCCCCATTCCTTTCTGCTTCTGGTTTGGAGCTCTGGATCAGGGCCTTATTCCTGATCGGTTTTTAAATAATTATTTAAAAGTGTAACTTTTAGACCTGCGTGACATCTACAAAGCGTCCAATAAAGAAAGAACAAGCCATGGTCCCTGCTTTCCTTCTCGGGTCTCTGGGCCCTTTGCACTGCCAATATCCATTTCCCTTCACCAAGAGCTGGGGTGGGTGTCGAGATGGATGTGGTCTAAAGACTAGTCCATAGGATCCGGAAGAACCCTCAGTCCCCTTTGGCTGATTTGAAATTGTGCCTTTTCTTACGCTAATGGTTCACAAACTTTAAGGTTCACAAACTTGAATGAGTTGGAATCACTTGGAGGACATGTCAAGTCACAGGTCATGGTCTTTCCTGAGTTTCCAGCTCAGTAGACCGAGAAGTAACACTTCTAGCAGGATCCCAGGTGCTGCTGGCCTGGGGGCCACGCTGAGAAGTAGCTCCTGAAACATGTTCTCCGAGTTGTCTGAGCTGCTACGTGGGACCTGTATCACACACTTAGGACGCTTGCTGAAAATGCATCTGCCCAAGCTCCAGACCTGTCGATTTTATTGGTGGGATGGGAGTGCTGCAAAAATGGTCAAGAGTCTTGCATTTTCACACCCACATTTGTGAATCATGTTCTGGTCATAAGGGAGTTTTATTTACCTGTTCACAGCCTTAATTTTCATTAGCACTACCTAGATTACGTTCAACCCATGGATTGGCATAGCCTGTCTGAGCTTGAATAGCATTCACCTTTGTGCCACCATGGATTCCTCACTCCACTCTGAAACCTCGGCAGCATGTCTGTGGGGAAACAGCCATGATTTTTCAGTGCTCGTTATAGTGCATCTCCAACTAAAAAAGTCTGGGATGTCATCTAAACCCCCACAGAGCTCATGATCTAATGAGAAAGGGAACAAGACTAGAGAGCAAGATGGCATAAATCAGATGCTAACTTGTGGTTTAGGTAGAAGGATACAAAAGGGAGGGAAGTTTGCCAGAAAGGCAGGGAATTGGTGCTCTAACTCGAGAGATGAGAAGGACTCAGATGGCCATGAAGTCTAAGAGCAGAGGTACAGTAAGAGCATCAGGTGAGAAGGTGTAGCTCAAGGTGCCGAGGCCAGAGGGGGAGCTAGGACTCCCACTCAACCCAAAGGGCCTGGCTTTGCTCTTTGTGCCCTAAGTGGGGTCCACAGCAAAGTGGCCTGTCATTGGTCTGGAGTATCCAGAGACTGGATTCCGGAGGGAATGGTATCAAGAGTGAGCTGTGGGGATGGATGATAAGCTGTGGAGCTGGGAGCTCTTGCTGCTTTGGCCAAAGAGGGTTGGGTTACATTACAGCCTGAAAGCCGCTGGGTCCCTGTGCAGTGTACCTAAGGTGTGAAGGGATGGGGGCTTCAGAGCTGGAGGGAAGTTGGCTTGACTATGCAAAAGAAAAAGCCAATCTCAAAACTTATGAATGCTTAAAAAGCTCACCAAATAGGTATTTCTGCAAATGTCTAAAAATAGCAGTGCCTTATGTGGACTAAGCATTGGCCTCCTGACAGTGCCCTCAGCGGTCCCGGATCTGTCTCTTGTTTCAAAGTTTGGATGGAACAGACCCAGGGACTACCCTTCTTCCAGCTTCAACCACCTATGTCTTTTCCAGTCACCACCTCCAGAACCACCTCAGCCATCCCCAGCCTTTGAAACCAGCCAACACTGCTTTTTGTTTTTTGTTTTATTATCATTAACTTCTTATTGCCAAACAACCACGAGCTCCCTAAGTCGTCAGTGTTCTTCCACTGAGGTGGAGGCTGCTGTCAACCACCTGGTCAGCCTGCATCTGTGGGCCTCCTACACCTACCTCTCTCGGAGCTTTTATTTGGACCACCACAACGTGGCTCTGGAGGGCATGGGCCACTTGTGTTGGCAGAAAAGCACGAGAGTGCTGAGCATCTCTTAAAGATGCAAAACCAGTGCAGTGGCAGATTCCCTTCTAGGACATGTTGAAGCCTTCCCAAGATGAGGAGGGTAAAACTCAGGACAAGATGGAGGCCACCATGGCAGGCCCTGGGTCCTATCTGCACAGACCCTCATCTCTAACTTCCTGGAAAACCACTTCCTGGATGAGGAGATGAAACCATAAAGAAGATGGCGACCACCTGACTAACCTCCGCAGGCTGGCCAGCCCTCGGCTCGGCGAGTATCTCTTCAAAAGGCTCCCTTCAAGCAGACTAGGACCTTTGGAGCCCAGAGGTCTTTGAGGGGCCCCTCTGCATCCCCCTCATGTCTGGCTTTTGCCTGAGCCATTCTTTTAACCACGCTGGAAACAATAAAGCTTGCGGAAGGGGAGAATTGGCCTCCTAGTCCTCCCAAACCTTAGCATGTGAAAGGCAGCCAGATGCTGGAACTGAGTGAGGGTGAGTCTAGTGCAGGGATGCTGGCTCAGGTTTGTTTTCCCCCACGGACAGGTGGTGCTTGTCTTCATTTGGCTTTCCACCTCTTCCTGAGTTGGGAAATCTTTCCTCCCAGCCTGTGTGTTTCAAGTGGCTCCAGGTCCTTTAATCGTAGCATTCAAAGTGAGACAAGTTTTTTTTTTTTTTTTTAATATGTGTTTGTGTGTGTTATATATATAAAAAAAAGTTCAGAGAGGAAGGGAGAGAAACATCAATGATGAGAAAATCATTGACCAGCTGCCTCCTGCACACCCCGTGCTGGGGATTGAGCTTGCACCCTGAGCATATGCCCTGACTGAGAATCAAACTGTGACCTTTGGTTCATGGGTTGACGGTCAATCACTGAGCCACACCAGCCAAGAAAAGTGAGACAAATAACTCCATACAACAGCTGCCTTTTCCTTCCCTTCCATTTGCAACTACCTTCCACAGCGACCCCACCTCATCCAGTGTTTCTCTTCCCCGGCTCCTCCAGGTCTCCAGGCTGTGATTTCCCGCTGCATCCTCTACCTCATTCCAGCCTCACTGCGCTCCACACTGCTTTTCACACTTTATCTTCCCCCTATTCTTCCCTCCCTGCACCCCAGTGGACTGTACTCATCCTACAAGACTAGCTACAAATCCCCGTTTGTTCCTTGAAGCCTTCTCTGGCTACCACAGCCTGCACTAAGTTTTCTGAACTCTGTCCCCACCACACACTTTAGCCTGCTGACTTCTTTTATTATTCACTGTGAACCAGTTCTGTGCCTTCCCCTGTAATTGCCAGGCTTTATGGGGACAGTATGCCTGTGTCCCTTCCAACTCCCCCCCAGCACTGAGCCATGCGGAGCACAGTGGGTGCCAGGTGATTGTGTGGCTGTTTGATGATGTGTGAACTCTAATAGGTGTGATACGGCGGGGGATGGTCAGCTGGAGGAGTGGGCTGGTGGAGGGTTTCTTATTCAGAGACAGGGAATCATTTGGGGGAGAGGAGATGTCTCTTTCAAGATTAACCTAAAGCCATGGTCGGCAAACTGCGGCTTTCGAGCCACATGCAGCTCTGGCCCCTGGAGTGCGGCTCTTCCACAAAATACCACAGCCTCAGCAAGTGTATTTTGAAGTGGCATTAGAAGAAGTTTAAGTTTTAAAAATTTGGCTTTCAAAAGAAATTTCCATCGTTGTACTGTTGATCTTTGGCTCTGTTGACTAATGAGTTTGCCGACCACTCAAGCATGTTCTGGATAGGATTGGGCCAAGCCCCACCCCTTGATCCCAGATGCTGGTCCCTAGCCCCTCCTGGCTGGCTGCTACCCACTTCATAAAAAGTAGCCCCAACCAGCAGGAGGCAGCTCACGAGGAGGATGAGCACGGAGCATGGACAGCAGTAGCAGTCTGGAGGTGGAAAGGGCCGTGGTTCCAGGATGAAGTCCAGAAAGCAGAGCGGATGCAAAGAAACCTACCCAATGTATATCTACAAGGTGCTAAAGCAGATGAGAGCTGGGAGTTTGTGTGTGTGTGTGTGTGTGTGTGTGTGTGTGTGTGTGTGTGTGATGTACTGGCAAAGAGTTGGAAGGGTAGTGCTGCACTGAGAGTCAGGACTTGGCTTAGTCTGGCGCTGAGACGAGTGGCCTCACGCACACTGTGCTCTTCTAGAGGTGCTTGAACTTGATCTTGGAGGTCTCTACCCCTCTCAGGAGATCATGCACCTGTGATGTGCAGGGGATGTTTAAGGCATGCTCTCCACCACAGTTCTGAAGCTTACAGGGCTTTTGGAAAGACAAAATGATTATACGGAATGTTAGGTGGCACAAAATTAAAAGGGAAGACCATGAGAAAGTGGTGGGCTGAAGGTGATTGATCTCCCAGGTGCCAAACACACTATGATGCAAACAAATCCCAGTTGGTGCCGGTAGAGCGAGGAGCACTTTGTGTGAACTCAGGTCTTGGGAAGGCCTTCCATACAAGTGGCACTGTCTTTGCGGAGCTAAGGGGTTGGTCCACCTTACAGAGGAGGAACCTGAGGTGCATCCAGACTCAGTGGGTTCACTGAGTCACAGGACCTGACTGCAGCAGCTCCAGCCAAGCCCTTGAATGCTTCCTGCTGGTCCTACCCCGAAGCCACAGGTGTCCTCTATCCAGGCAGCACACCGGTGGTGTGCCTCTGAGAAGCACCTATGCCTAGGACTGACAAACATTTGGAGGCACCA